TTGAATTAGAATATATGTATTTAGTATAGAAAATCATGCAAAATATTAAGTCTAGTTATTATAAAGTGCGCCTTATGGACATTTTTGGAGTAAAAAAGTAACGTTTTTGGTTTTAGAAATATTAAATCACACATTATTTTCTGCTAAGCAGATCAAAAATTTTTAAATTTTAAATATAAGGGGGAAATAAAAAACAAAATAAAAATTATTTGCTGTTAGGTTCAACCTTTTTATGAAAAAACTAGTAGTTAATTTTCCTGTCTTTAAAAATTGCATCCATTTGGTTTGAAAAAGATAAGCAATAACTTTTTCTTCTTTCAATTTGCAAGTTACTGATCATTAATAGTCCTGGCCAATATATACGTAATCAGGGCGGTCTTAAGCACCCGGGCTGTTTTTTTGTAGGCCTTGATACGACCATTTCTCGCTGAGATATCGATCTTTGAATGAAAATGGATCATTTTTCCTTTGATCATCGATATCTCACAAACCAATAGTCGCACAAAAAATTGGAAGACGGTTTTAGAAACTTGAATAAATGCCCTACAAGGTTCGGCTAATGTTTTTTTCAAAACAATTTTTTTCCATTCGTAACATGATTTTGAAAAATCGTGAAAAAATTGGCTTTGGAGGTTTTTGGGAAAATCACACGCGGAATGGAGATTATGGAAAAAACGACTAATCTTAAGTGTGCCTTTTATAGTTCAATATACCCACAAAAACACTAGCAAGTTTCAATTCGATTCAGCCGTTTTTTTTGTTTCATTTGACTGAGTTTTTGAAAAAATGAAATCACGTTTTTTTACTCTTAAACGCTCATAATCTCTAATAAAATGCAAAACAAAATTATCTCCACTTTTTTCACACTTTTATACCAAACAGCATTTAAAGTTATGATTTTTTTTTACAAAATTTAAATTCAAATGATCCTTTTTTATTTAAAGCCCGATAGCTCAGCGAGAAAAGGTCGTATCAAGGCCTACAAAAAAAAAACAAATTAAAGCTGGATAAACAACCTATCCGATCCACATGGTGGTTTAGTTAAAAAAAATAAAAATACAGTCATTTGAAAATTCGCTAAAAATTTGGTATACATTTTTGATCCTTTAATTTTTTCCACTAGTGTATATATTATAAACAAGTTGGGTGGGGTTTTTTTCCCAAATTTTTTTATTTACTTTTGCTTAATTATTAAAGAATTTTTTTAAAGTTTGTTGTTAGCTCTATTACCTATTACTTATGTAGTTATATATCGCTACCTTGGTTTAACATGGTTCTATCAGCCATTTTCTCGAAAATGTGATTTTTGCATGAAAAGATTTCATTTTTGAGATAATGGCAGATAAACCATGGTAGCGATATGTAAAATAATAGTTATTTATGTCATTAGGTTAAGAAGTAAGGCTTTTTGTGCTAAGCTCAAGGTTTGAAGGCCGACGCGTAGCGGAGGCCTACAATTGAGTGAAGCACAAAAAGACACTTCTTGGCCGAATGGCATACAACATTTTTTCTTCAAAGCACTTTATATAGGTCAATTTAATTCAACATCAAAGCGACCTAACCTCACTTTTTTAGAATCTCATTTATTTATTAGGTAAAGATTACATTAAATGTACAATAATTAACTATTATTGCTTTTAGAAGTAGTAATAGTTTGACAAAACCTATCAACATGATTTAAGTAGAAATGGATTTTTGCTATTACATTGAATTCAATTAATTGTTTAATAAATAGGTAGGTATCTAATTTCAATTTGTTTGGATTTTTATTTAAAAAATAGGTAGTTTGAAATGTTTAAGCTGTGTTTAACATTTAATTTCACTAAAAACTTAAAGCAAATTAAAACTTAAAGATAATTTAAATCGTAGAAAAACAATCGTGCGTTTTCTTGGTTGCCTAACCTCACTTTTTGTGTTATTATTCATATTTAATTTTACAATAATTTAATGAAAAATATTAAACATTAACAGTAAAACAAACAAATTAGTGCTTATTATAAATAAATTAAACCAGTTTAGTACGTTAATTTCTTAGAAAAGAATTATTTTGTCAAAACAATACCCCTAGCGAGAAAAAATCGAACTAATTACTTGCCTCATAAAATTTTTTATAGGCCTAGGCCATAACAAGGTATTTCTTTATCGAATGTTATAAACAATAAAGTTTAAAATATAGACCACGTGGAGATAAAATATTTTATTTATAGACAAAATTTGTTATGTTTAATATATATTTTGTTATGTTGAGTTTTTAAGTTTACTATAATTTTTATTTTTACTTTTTATTAAATTTCTCCAAATATTTGTAGTGTATTTTTTATGGCGGTGCATTCATCATTGAAGTCCAATGATTTGACAACATTCACGTGTGTATACACTGCTTGTATATTTGATATTTTTTAAATTTATTATATGACTTAAAACAAATCACGCTACCATAGGGATCCGCCCTGCATCCCCTACCCCACAATAAACCATAAACTATAGCTTATAAGCTCTCATTAAAGAAATATCTAATTTAAATCCAACAACAATAATAAAGTATATTTCTGGCCAAATAGCTTTTAAATTAAGCTAAAGGTCATTCCTCTGAACACAGAATTGTGTTCAGAATTAAGAAGAAGAAGAAGAAGTATATTAAAAAAATAATCCCGGCGAATTCGCCATTTTTGCAAATTATTAAAACGTCATAGGGAAATTTCATATCAAATCAACCAAAGGTTTCGAAGGCACCATCTTCGATTTTGATGAATTTTGGTACAGTTGCTCTTCCCATTGAAAAACTCAACAAACCAAAAGTTATTTTTTTTGAATAGTACCTACTTTTTTATGGATTTTTGAAAATCAAGAAATTTACCATGGTAATTGCAATTAGACTCTGTAGGCTCTTAAAAAAATAGGTATATCTCAGGATCACAGAGCATTAAGTAATAGCTTGTTTTAAGGTATTTAGAAGCCCTTTCAGATGATGTATCACATGATATACTTTGTCTTAAAAAAAGGGAATTTTTGAAGAAAAAAAATTGTAAATTTCTCAAAAACACCATTTTTAATTTTGTTATCAATGTTTTAGCTACCTATTTAACCAAATTTAGAATGGAGAAATGATGGATTAATTGTAATAATCTATTTTTTAATATCCTTACATAGCAAAAAAAAAACGGTTTTATTTTAAAAATAGAACATATATATGTTCTATTTTTAATATATTCATAATATTATGAATATATTAACTTAAAGCTACAACGAAAAAATATATAAGGTATAAAAACAAATGAAAATAACTTTATTTTTTTGATTTCATTTTTTTTATAATTTTTGAAACTAAATAACAAACGGAAATTAGTTAGTTTTTTGTCTTTTAAGAAATTTCCAACATTTCTTTTTTGGTTAAGATATAAGTTTAATCTGTACCAGTAAGTTTCCTCAATATTGTATCTTAGGTTTTGGATAATAAAAATAATTTGCCGGTCCATTCGGATGTAAAAAACAAACTTTAATTTTCTTCGACTCTTCATTCTTTCAATTGTAAAAGCTAACCACCAAGAGCTCTTAATAAGAGCCTCTTATAGTGTTATCTCAAGAACTGCTTATCACAGAGCATTGAGTAATAGCTTGTTTTAAAGGTCTTTTGAACCCCTTTCAGATAACTAATCACATGATATACTTTTTCTTAAAAAAAATGGGAATTTAAAAAAAAATTGGAAATTTCTCAAAAACACCATTTTTAATTTTTTTCAAAAAAAATTCAAAAAAATACATATATACATATATCTGTTGTTTTAAGAGCCTGCAGAGGCAAAATTGGTAAATTTCTTGATTTTTAAAAATCCAAAGAAAAACTACTGTTTGAAAAAATTTTAAATTTTGGGTTTTCGAGTTTTTCAGGACTTAAGCTGGATTTATAGTTTTAAAGGTAACGGTAGAGGCAGCGGTAAAGGTAGAGGTAAAGGTAGCGGTAGCGGTATCACTTTCTGCAATTTATAGTTCAGAAAGTAGCGGTAGCGGTACTGACGGCGCATGCGTACTTTAATGCAGATTGTAATTTTGTTTCTAAAATTTAATAGCAAAAGGTTAAGTTTTCTATGAAAACATGAATTGCGAGGACAATGCTGTACTTCTGGGCCATAGGTATGGCGTTGTGCGAAATATTATATAATAAACCCTGCAACACAATATATTATATATACAATATATTATGTTGTATTGCAGGGTTTCAAGTACGTTATGGGGGACGTCAAGTACGTCGCTATAAAACGAGGGAATTAAATCGGGAACAAGCTAAGAAACGCCATTTCCAGTATTAAAATAAAATAAAATTGACCGATAAAGAGTAGTTCTTTAAATACACAAATGACGGTGACCATTTCTGACAAATTATCAAGTCTGGTTGCCCCTCGCATAAAAACTAAACTTACAAGGCGAGGCTGCCAACTGAAAACTGCCGTGTGATTGGCTGGAGTAGCGGTTGAGGTAAGAAAAGTTGAAAGATGGTCATCTCTTGCCGCTACCTTCTTGCCTCTACCTCTCTTACCGCTACCTCTGACAACTATAAATTGTTTCGTACAATATTCAATGCCGAACTCGGCTACCGCTACCGCTACCTTTACCTCTACCTTTACCGCTGCCTCTACCGTTACCTTTAAAACTATAAATCCAGCTTTAGAACAACTTTACTTAATCAAAATCGGAGGTATTGAAAACAAAATATACCTACCTTTTTTGGTTGATTTGATGTGAAATTACCTCATAATACCTTTTTCATAATTTGCAAAAATTGCGAATTCGCCGGGATATCATTACATGCTTTTTTATTAATTAAATTACAAACAAACGATCACCACCAATATCGTAGAAAAATAAAACTTTATAAAAATATTCGTTTAAAAAAACAGCGCCATCTATCCAATCATTAGAAACTCCATCAGAACAATACAATACTTCATACAGAAACCTACAATTCGACACTTCAACTTATTACAGTTATCTATCCTGCAGTGCTACCAACAAAACAACCAGTCCCCCACAAAAAACCCCAAACTCAATAACCTATTCATCATTCAGACATCCCAAAATCTAGTGCTATTTTTGTTTATTACTCGTCCTTACACCTCGTATGTCATGCAATTGCAAGTTCCATTGTGTTTTTAAGACGTCGAACAACACAACACGAAACACAACAATAAAGTAATAAATTCCCGTGTGCGAGCTAAAAGTTTTTATTAGAGAAAAAAGTTAATTGTGCGAGGATGTCCACACCAGCAAGACGTCGCTTAATGAGGGACTTTAAAAGGTTTAACGATAAAATAACTTAACCTGCAACTATTTAGCTTTGATTCAAGACCATGATGGGGCTTACAAAAACGTTAATTTACGCGTCAATAGTGACAAATAATTGATTTTTTTAGGTTACAAGAAGACCCCCCCACTGGCGTGAGTGGAGCCCCCACAGACAATAACATTATGATTTGGAATGCCGTAATCTTTGGGCCACATGATACTCCATTTGAAGATGGAACTTTCAAACTCACAATAGAATTTACCGAGGAATACCCCAACAAACCCCCCACTGTGCGATTTGTTAGTCACATGTTCCACCCCAATGTCTACGCAGATGGGGGTATTTGTCTGGACATCCTGCAGAATCGGTGGAGCCCCACATACGATGTCTCAGCTATTTTAACTTCGATTCAGGTAAGTGGGTCAATGGTTGGCCTTAACCTTAAATCTGTCTGTCTTTGTTGTTTGTGCAATTTTTTGTTTTTGGCTGAGTATGGGTGTTGCTTTTTAATTGCAGTTGAATGCAGCAGTTTGTTGTTTTTATATATTTGTAATTTGAATATTTTTGTTGATTTCTAGAGGATATCAGACTCCTTTGTTTTATTGATTATTTAAATGACTAATAATGTATTTTTAATTCTAAAAATAACTATCTCTCACAAAAAATGTTGTAAACATTCTAAAATGTGCTTTTAACATTACCGTAAACACGGGTGACTTTTCACCCCGCGGGTGACTTTAGCCCTTTTATGAAAAAAATTTTCGCGCTCGTTAAAATTAACATTTATAATTTGTTGGTCTAAACCTGTCAATTGAGCGAATCTATTGAGTTTATATTACAGGAAAATCAGTGTTTTAAAAAAATAAATGGGATTTATTACACTTTAAAGTTGTATATATTGCATTAGTGCAAAACTCTTAAAAATACACGCGTTTCAATTTCTATACAGGGTGTTCGGAAATTAGTGCACCATACTTTAACAGCAGATTCCACGTGCAAAAATAAGAAAAAAAGTCCCTATAAATATAGATCGAGAAATGCCTCCTAAGGGAGCTACAGCCCCCGAAAAGGGAGCCCCTGAATATGGTTTTTATCTAATATTTATAAAAAAGTAGAAACACCCTGCCACTTACTACATGAAACTGTCACCTGTCTTGAATTATTCTATTTTTTCCTAAACATGACAGTCGTATTCCAAGGACCACGCGAGTCCATTTCTATGGTTGTGATTTAATTGTGAATTTTTATGCCATGTAAAATAATTTTCAAATAGATTTTAAGCGAAAACGGTGTATGTTAACGAAGTTCAACAAGATGACCTTTTTTATGTGCAAAACCCCAAAATTTCATAATCTGACATTAAATTCTGGTACAAGATACGTACAAAAAAGTTAAGGTGGTTTTAACCCCACTTTCTATCAATCTGACCCAAACCTCATGAAATTTTTTAAATTGTTATTGTTACGTCTTATTAGTCATAAAAAGTTTAATTAATTCCCTAAATTTCACTTTTCTATCTTTAACGGTTTTGGAGATATTAAATAAAAACCATCTTCAGGGGCTTTCCTTTTGGGGGCTGTAGCTCCCTTAAGAGGCATTTCTTGACCTATGTTTATAGGGACTTTTTTCTTATTTTTGCACGTAGAATCTGCTGTTAAAGTATGGTGCACTAATTTCAGGACACCCTGTATTATGCGCAATTCTTTGGAATGATGATCCTTGGTTAACTACAGGTCGATTTTTTATTGTTTTTATCGGTAATCCCTTGCAATTGCTATATGTCGCTGCTAACATATGTCTAATAAAAATAATATAAAATATTGAGTTAATTTTATACGAAAAATACACCGTGAGAAAAAGTAACCCGCAACCAGGGGGTAACTTTGCACACCCAGTTTTTAATTTTTATTTTTGAAACTCAGCTCTATGTAAGATTATAACATAGTTATTATGAAAGAGCAACTCAAGACTCAAATTTTGGTATACAATATTTAATGTTTATAATTGTTAAATTTACAAAAATGTTAAGATTAAGTTTGAAAGTGAGCTAAAGCCACCCGTGTTTACGGTACTAAATAGGTTTTTAACATTCTCAAAACATGTTTTTGACAGTTTAAATGTCTTCATTTTTTAATAGGTCTAAAATAAAATATTTTACAGTCTTAAATAAGTCTTGACATTATTAAATGTTTTTTTTTAACATTCTAAAATGTGTTCTTAACATTATTAAATATTTTTGGCAGCTTGATTTTGGTATGTCTAACATTCTAAAATGTGTTTTTAACATTTACATTCTAATAAAAATTCTGCCATTTATATGTATAGTCTTGGCATTCTTTAATGTCTTTAATATTCTTAAATGTGTAGGGTGTAGGGTAGGGTTTTAAAATTTCCGGAAAAATTGTGAAATTTTCAGAAAAGATGACTTGCATTTTTTTTATTTTATTCAAATTGTAATACAAAAAAATGCAAAAGTCGATTTTTCTGAAAATTTCCCAATTTTTACGGATACTATCCGTAAACTGATATCGAGAAAAAAAGTGAATTTCCGACGATGAATCTAATCATAATATTATGATTATAATAATTATTTCTTTTATTTTAATTCAGTAAGAATATTCTACCGTGTCGCAAAAAAACATATTCGGTGCTGTATTAACATAACTTTTGTTTTATTTTACTTTGATTTATAAAATTATAATTTTGTAATTTAACTTTATAAATCATTTATTATTTTGTAATTGGATATTTTTAATTGACTCCTTTTTGCAAAAAATACCCAACAGTATATTTAACGTTAACGTTTAAATAAATAAATAAATAAAGTTTTTATTGCATATTCAGTACAATACAGAACATATAATACAAAATATACAAAAGGCCAATTAATTTAATTTTACTCAATGTTTAGTTTAATTTTTTTTCCTGTAAGGATATTTTTTTTTAATTAAAATAATGTCCGTTCTTTTTTAAGCCCTTAAAACACCACTTTTTAAACAAAAAAATTGGAAAATGTGCAGATAATAGTAGTTAGTAGGTACGTTTAATACGAGAATAAATGCAAAACTCAATTTTTTCTGAAAATGTTGTCTTTTTTTGATGGAAAAACGGTTTTTTAGCCAACTCAATTTAATAATATAATTTTTATAGGTAGTTTTTGCACTGTATGTGGCATGGCGTAGAGGGCTGTTTTCAGAAAACCCTGTTCCTTCATTTTGTAAATAATTTAATATATATTTAATAATAATAATTCATAAAAAAAAATTAGTTGAAATTTATCAGAAACAATCCTTGAAGGGGGGATTATCTATTTTTATGTTTTTTCTGATATCCAGGGGTAAATTCAATTTTTCTACTTCAACATTTTTTCCCAGTGCTAAATTTCATTGAACCTGTTTTCATTGCATATTACTATTAACAGTTGCGTCCTGTTTTTAAACCAAAATGTCCTGGTATACCTTTAAATCCTGGTTTTCAAAATTTGCAAATGGGAACCCTACTGTATATAAATCAAAAATAAACTTTTGGAAATATCTTAAACATGGTAAATTTGGGGTATAGTTGTTGAGAAAGTTTAATTTAAAAATGCAAAAATAATCAGCCAATTTAAATATTTTTGTTACTAATATACTTTTGATTATATTAAAAACTTTTTATAAATATTAATAATTTTTTTTACACTAGATTACAATTACATGTATTTATAGTTTTTATCATAAAATTGTTGTTATTTCCCACTTGTTTTATTTTTATATTTACGGATTTAACATTTGCCATCTAGTACATCTTTTTATTCTTTTGTCTTTTGTAATTCTTTTAATTATTCGTATTATCGATGTAGTAAAAGTTACCTGCTGTATTTTAAGATGCCCCTTCCTTATTATATAAGGAATGTCAAACTTACTTATAAAACACAATTTAGAATCTTTTTAAAACAGTCTAGTATTACTTAATTTAACTATACTATATATAGTATATAGTGCGACTAGTGGGTAATTTTCTTGGTAACTCGCGAGTGATATTTTATTCATATATCAATATACGAGAACTATGAATTTAATCGGTTAAACTAGGCTCAGTAGTTTTTTGTTTGGTTTTTGTTGGAAATTGTTGAATGCAAAATAATTTAATAAAATCACGAGACCGCGTAGCGGTCGAAGGGTTTTATTTTTAATTATTTTGCATGAAACTATTTTCCAAAAAGAAAAATCAAATAAAAAACTTACTGAGCATAGTTTGACAGATTAAATTTATAGGTTGAGTGATATACGTCTAGATTATTTCTCGAATTAAAGGAAACTATTTGACAATTCATAAAATCTGACGTATGTGTCAAAATTTATAAATATTTTTTTTAAGAAAATTCCATTAATTTAAGGTATGTAATAAGTAATAATTGATATTTCGTAAACTATATAACTTATTTTTTATTGTTTTTTAAAAAATGTTTGTTAAAACTTGTAAATAACACCATAAAATCGTAAACAAAAATCCAATATGGAGGCTAAAATTTAATCGCTGTTAAATAGTTCTAGTGATTTAATCGCTTATTTAAACGAAATTTATTCGAAAATTCAAGGCGCTTGATTGGTTCATATTATAATGAGGGAAATATTCATATAGGTATTATATGACGAGAACTATGAATTTAATCGGTTAAACTAGGCTCAGTAGTTTTTTGTTTGGTTTTTCTTGGAAAATGTTGAATGCAAAATAATTTATTAAAATCACGAGACCACGTAGCGGTCGAAGGGTTTTATTTTTAATTATTTTGCATGAAACTATTTTCCAAAAAGAAAAATGAAATAAAAAACTTACTTAGCATAGTTTGACAGATTAAATTTATAGGTTGAGTGATATACGTCTAGATTATTTCTCGAATTAAAGGAAACTATTTGACAATTCATAAAATCTGACGTATGTGTCAAAATTTATAAATATTTTTTTAAGAAAATTCCATTAATTTAAGGTATGTAATAAGTAATAATTGATATTTTGTAAACTAGATAACTTATTTTTTATTGTTTTTTAAAAAATGTTTGATAAAACTTGTAAATAACACCATAAAATCGTAAACAAAAATCCAATATGGAGGCTAAAATTTAATCGCTGTTAAATAGTTCTAGTGATTTAATCGCTTATTTAAACGAAATTTATTCAAAAATTCAAGCCTTTTGATTGGTTCATATTATAATGAGGGAAATAATCAATAATAAAATGAATTTAAAGCCAGTTTTATTTGATATTTTATCTGACATTTAACAACTGTCACTTTTAACTTAAAGCCAACTGTGGGCGAAATACCAGTCAAGAATAAAATTGGTGTTGTATAAAATATGTTGTTAAATTAACCTAAAAATTTCATTAAAGTACAAAAATCTTGTCTAATTACACTTCATTTTTTTTTATCTGGACTCATGTTTTTTTTGTTAGGTTGGTGGCTTATGTCAGTTTGACTTAGTATTTTTAGTATTTAAAAATGGTACTTCTACTAAAGAATTTAATTAAATACTTTGACACTGTCAAATTGACAATAATATTTATTATTGATAATTTACTTGTCAATTATAAATAAAAAGATAATTATGCCATATAATAGCAACGAATTCGAATGTAAAAGCCCTTTTGAGGGCAAAACTTCATTTTGATGAAATTAAAAAAAATTTAATTTCTTTAATATAAATTCTCTTCAAAGCGAAGATTATTATCCGCTATGAATACTTTCTCTTCTGGGCCGTAAAGCAACCTATATTTAACTACTTTTTTTATATGATTTTACTCATCCAAGCACCACCAAAGCCAAATTAATTGCATTTTTAACTACGAATTTCGACAACTCAACTTGACAACTGCACAATGTAACCTACAATAATTTATACATAACCACAATTAGATTTATAACTAGCTTAGTTTGTTTTAATTAATGCGACCAACTTGACAACTGTTGCCTCAGTCCAGATAAAGAAATAATCAACTTTATATAAGTTTTTATTATGATTTTTTTTCTTTCTTTAATAACTATAAAGTTTCACAACTCTGAGATATGCTAATGGTGTTTATTTTTAAGGTTTTTTAACGATAATTTTAACTTGGAATTTTTTTATTTGTCTGGAAACTTTTTAAGATTTAAAGTGCTATAAAAAACTATTAATTAATAATGACTTAAAAAAAAATTATACTAAAAGGGTAATATTTCTGGAAGAAGCCATTATTACAGATTTCATACAATACTATAAATAAATATTTATTTAAAAGTAATTTATAGTTAGTTATTCAAATTAAATGATTTTTTAAGGGTTTACAAAATTACGTAAATTTTTTTGGATTTTTTTATTGTATACCTACATAAGTCATATTTATTTTATGTTTATAATAAAATAAAACCTGTTTCAAAGCAAATATAAAGAATGAAATGAAAAGTGTCAAGTTACAAGATTAACAGTGCAACAAAAATGTAAACAACATATTTTTTCTAAATTTATTTATTACAAAATTGTATTTAGAAATAATTGCAATTTAGGTTTAGTTGCCAAATATAAACCCTAATATGGGCACAATGGAGCCAACTAAATAAAACAAACTAAGCTTCCTTATCTCGGCACATTTCCTGCAAAATGCAAAAAGAAAGATTTAATTTTGATTAATTTTGTTTTTCAAATTTTATTTTAATTTCTTACACTGCATTACTTGATTTCTTAAGAGTTTGAGTTTCTGTTTTCAAAGATCATATTAAGCTTCCTGGTTTTGTCCTATTTCTTGTACACTGTAAAAAGAACTATGATTTATATTGTTCTTTTCAATTTTATTTTAATTTCTTACAAAGTACTTGATTTCTCTTTTAATAAATCAGCTGTTAAGTGTAAAGTTGAAACTGTATCCACTTTTTTATGGGAATGTAGTTTGTATTTTTTTTTTTTAAGTTGATCCAGCTATCTTTATTTATACGCTAAAGAAGTATCGCTAGTAGCGCCACCACTCGGCTGTTATCATCGTAATAAAAGAAGAACTTTTAATAATCAGCTGTGAAACGCTTAGGTTATAAACGAGTGTTTTTGAGAATAAATCAGGAAAATGTTAAAAAATATCGAAAAAAAACCGTGGATCGATTTGTTGTATTGTTGGGTGTTTTTCGAGAGGAAATCCTGGATAGGGTTTTTACCGGTTTTCCAATAAACAGTGTTAATCTGAATGAAGGAATAAATTGCATACAGACTCTGTAAATATAAATTGTACCTATTAGATACAATGAATACACATTTTAGTAGTGATTAACGTGAAAAGTGTAAACATTTCAATTCAGTAAAAATCGCCAAACAAATAAGTTGTCTAAATTTAAACAGCATTTAGCATTATTAATAGCGTTGATAAAGAATTCTTTAAGTCTCCACTCAACGGTAAAATTCCATTATATTTATTATGTATTATATATAATATTATATTGCCATGTACCTATTCGTAGGTATATTTTGTTGTTTAAAATGCAGTTGTCGGCGTTTTTTAGAGAACTCAAATATAAAAATGATTGATTTTAAGGTTATGTTTGTGCAAAAATTATTTTTTACTAATTTTCTAAAAATGTCCAAACTTAAATATAAATTATATTAGGTAAAGTTATCATTAGTTAATTCTGCACCTACAAATGTACTTACCGAATTTGATCCTTAGGAAAAACATAAAAATGCAACGATTTAGTTCTTGAATTTTATTTACAATTAAAAACACAATAATTCACCATGATCCCTTTGATAAAATACACACCCTAACGTAACTATATAGGCATTTAGGCGTTGAGTTTCTTAATCAATTATATAAGGAATAATCAATCGAAATCGAATACTAAAAAAGTTTTTTAATTTTTTCCTTGCAACGTAAAACACAAATAACTTGCGTGATTTAGCTGTGCAATTGAACAAAATTTGTCGAGTAAGACTTCTGCGTTCCTCTCTTTTGTAAAAAAACTACCTATTTATTTAAAAATTACGTATAATCGGTGCTTTAAATTTATTGTTGACAATTCTTAAATTCACGCAATGCATTCGAAGTTGCGAAAACCCGATACTTCTTTAGCGTATATATCTGTCACAGATAAGACAAAAGACTTTACTCATTACATCTGTGAAAATGATTAGGGGTAGGGTTGGTTAATGGGGTGATTTTTTTAATGGGGCATTTTACACCAAGTCTGGCAGTTTGAAAACTATTGATTTTCGATTTCTTGCATTTTTCGATATTTTTAAAGTTTGATATTTTTTTGATTACTCGTTCAAAGGATCAAATTTTCAAAACAATCGCGTTTTTTGTTTTTTTGCTGCTAATTTCTTTAACACCATCCAAATTGAAATTTATATTTCTTAAAATTTTCGTGTATTAAAATTATCCAAATCATATTTGCATGCGAATTTTGAGATTTAAAATTTTAATTTTCAAACTGTATTCTTCTATTTTCTTGCAAATTTTTACGTTAAACTTCTACCCACTCAAGAAATTTTAAGCCGAAAATTTCAAAATACTCATTACAAATTAAAAATGAGTAATGTAAAAAAGAATACATTACTCATTGGAAAAAATGTAATGAGTAATTAATTTAATTTTCATTAAAAAGAACTAATGCATAATGAAAATTAAACACATTACTCATTATTTTAATAATGTGTATTAAAACCAGTGGCGGACTAAACCCGTCGGGGGCCCGGGGCGGTAAAATACAATGGGGCCCCTATTCCGCTTATGAAATAATGTGATTGTTTTGTAAATATTAATGTTTTGTTATTTTAAATTTGTTAGTAGATCCTCTTAGCAAGTCCTTTGTAATCAGGGATATGAAAATTGATTAAAAGCTTTTTCCATCGAACTTATAATAAGTATACTTATATTTGAACTTGTTAATAATTTAAATTTTAAAAATCAAGGGGCCCCTCATGGTAGTCTAAGATTAACCATTATTTAATGTAATTATAACCTTTTTTCTAATTCCTGATGGATTGCAGCTAGAGGCTCCCGAGACCAATATATTTAATATATTGGTCTCGGGAGCCTCTAAAATCTTTACTTTAGTTTTTACTTTATATTTTGTTTTTTTGTCATATCATGTTATTCTTTAGAAACTTGAAATCTCCGGGGTATATTTTAGTTTATATTTTATGGTAAAGCTGGGTCCTATACTAGGGTTTTAAACTATCGAGAAAAAAACGAAAAAATTGGGGAAAAAACAGGCCTTAAAAAATGTCTTTTGCATTTTTTCGTATTACTCTTTGAATAAAATGAGAAAAATTCAGGTCAATTTTTCTGAAAATTTCCCAATTTTTTTTTCGAAAAAAAAAAACGTTTTTTCCGCCGGCTCAATTTTTCCGGAAATTTTAAAACCCTAAATTTTAGATATTTTTTTGTTGGACTGAGAAAGACTACTTAAGATTTGGGGGCCCTTCTGGACCAGGGGCCCGGGGCGGACCTCCCCCCCCTTAGTCCGCCACTGATTGAAACCTTAATGCATTATTTCAAAGAGTTGCAAATAATTTATTTGCAACTCTGGAGCACACCTGAAACAAAGTACAAAGGTTGAGGTTTCTATAAGTAACCATTTGCAGAATATGCTGTCTTCGTTTGTTTGGTACTAGAGGAGTTTTTTACCAACATTCTATTTTTTTCAGTCGTTATTGAGCGACCCGAATCCGAATTCCCCGGCGAACTCGATGGCGGCGCAACTCTACAAAGAAAACCGACGGGAGTACGAGAAACGGGTGAAAGCCTGCGTGGAACAAAGCTTCATCGACTAAGAGGGGGGACCCGAAACGTGCGGCAACAGTGTACCCCACACACGCAAAACCCCCTGCAACTCTCCTACTACAGCTAATTTAATACTACTTGTGCTTCAAAACAAAAAAACCGCGTCACAAAAATTGTTTCTCATCATGATAAATAATTATAATTAAATAATAATAAAAAAACTACAACGTCATCCATGCCGTTTGCAAACGAAATCGGGTGGGATTTTTAAAACTTTTTGGCCGTGTGCAGAAACGTTAGTTATGATTTGTCGGCACACCCAACAAATCTCAACTCGCCTTTCTGCATACGGCCATTGATGACCTTATTGTTTAAAGTTTTAAAAGTATCGCTCACATCTAGATAAAAAAAATAGTTTTACTGTCGTGAAAAAAATCGATTGAATTAGTAGTGATCCACGAAATGGTTTATGAAATTCAGTTTAAAACAAATGCTCGCAGCCATTTTTGACAGCTGTCAACGTCAAAAGAGCGAGGTTAGGCAACTTGAAAGTAACTCAAATTTTAATTTCGATAAAATCGTTAAAAAACACAACATTGTCGTACTTAACCTCAAACTTTGACATCTGTCAACTGTCAAACGCGACGGCTTTCCTTTGTTTCGAAAAGAGCCTACTACTACAGTGTGATGAAATTAATTGTTTTTTTTTGTATGTATTAAGTACTAGGAAACTCTGTAATTTAATTTATTTTTTTTCAGTCACCTTTCTGTGTTAATTAATATATATATATTGTCTCATTTCCGCTTTTTAATCTCACTCATACTTATTATTTTTTTCTTTCCGTACTGCCTACCTTATTGGACGATATTTAGGTAGTTATTGTGTTATATAATTATGTATACTTAAATAAATTATTATAATAATGAATTTTGCGTTATTTTTTTTTACAAAAAAATTATAAGTTTTGACGTTTAATTTTGACATCTGTTACGTTTAACGTTTCTTGGCTGTCTCAACTCATTTTGGTCCAGGGAATATGTGGTAGGTGTGAACTGGCATTATAAATAAAACACATTTAATTTATTATTTTTTTTTTATTGAGTGAAATACATTAGCTCTCCTACTACAGCTAATTTAATACCATTAGTGCTTCAAAACAAAAAAAAACGCGTCACAAAAATTGTTTCTCATCATGATAAATAATTAAATAATAATAAAAAAACTAAATTAAATTATTATTGTTTAATTATAATTATTAATCATGATGAGAAACAATTTTTGTGACGCGGTTTTTTTTGTTTTGAAGCACTAATGGTATTAAATTAGCTGTAGTAGGATGTATTTCACTAAATAAAAAAACTACGTCAGGCCTGACCCCGGGGTCCAGGAAATATGTGGTAGGTGTGAAATAAAACTTCCCTTTTAATTTTTTACGTAAAACTGGCAATATAAATAAAACACATTTAATTTATTATTATTTTTATATTGAGTGCTTTCCTACTACAGCTAATTTAATACTATTAGTGCTTCAAAACAAAAAAAAAACGCGTCGCAAAAATTGTTTCTCATCATGATAAATAATTATAGTTAAATAATAAAAAAAAACTACGTCATCCATGCCGTTTGCAAACGGAATCGGGTGGGATTTTTAAAACTTTTTGGCCGTGTGCAGAAACGTTAGTTATGATTTGTCGGCACACCCAACAAATTTCAACTCGACTTTCTGCATACGGACATTGATGACCTTATTGTTTAAAGTTTTAAAAGTATCGCCCACATTTAGATAAAAAAAATAGTTTTACTGTCGTGAAAAAAATCGATTGAATTAGTATACTAACAAATTCGTGGATCACTATAGTACTATAGTGATCCACGAATTTGTTTATGAAATTCAGTTTAAAACAAATGCTCGCAGCCATTTTTGACAGCTGTCAACGTCAAAAGAGCGAGGTTAGGCAACTTGAAAGTACCTCAAATTTTATTTTCGATAAAATAGCCAAAAAACACAACATTGTCGTACTTAACCTCAAACTTTGACATTTGTCAACTTTCAAACGCGACGGCTTTCCTTTGTTTCGAAAAGAGCCTACTACTACAGTGTGATGAAATTAATTGTTTTTTTTGTATGTATTAAGTACTAGGAAACTCTGTAATTTAATTTATTTTTTTTTTCAGTCACCTTTCTGTGTTAATTAATATATATATATATTGTCTCATTTCCGCTTTTTAATCTCACTCATACTTATTATTTTTTTCTTTCCGTACTGCCTACCTTATTGGACGATATTTAGGTAGTTATTGTGTTATATAATTATGTATACTTAAATAAATTATTATAATAATGAATTTTGCGTTATTTTTTTTTACAAAAAAATTGTAAGTTTTGACGTTTAATTTTGACATCTGTTACGTTTAAGTTAAACGGTTTAACGTTTCATGGCTGTCTCAACTCATTTTGGTCCAGGGAATATGTGGTAGGTGTGAAATAAAACTTTCCTTTTAATTTTTTACATAAAACTGGCAATATAAATAAAACACGTTTAATTTATTATTATTTTTTTATTGAGTGAAATACATTAGCTCCCTACTACAGCTAATTTAATACCATTAGTGCTTCAAAACAAAAAAAACGCGCCACAAAAATTGTTTCTCATCATGATAAATAATTATAATTAAATAATTATAAAAAAACTAAATTAAATTATTATTGTTTAATTATAATTATTTATCATGATGAGAAACAATTTTTGAACGCGGTTTTTTTTGTTTTGATTCAAAACAAAAAAACCTTTTGAAGCACTAATGGTATTAAATTAGCTGTAGTAGGAGAGCTTATGTATTTCACTAAAAAAAAAAAATTCGTCAGGGGTCCAGGAAATATGTGGTAGGTGTGAAATAAAACTTCCCTTTTAATTTTTTACGTAAAACTGGCAATATAAATAAAACACATTTAATTTATTATTTTTTTTTATTGAGTGAAATACATTAGCTCTCCTACTACAGCTAATTTAATACCATTAGTGCTTCAAAACAAAAAAAAAACCGCGTCACAAAAATTGTTTCTCATCATGATAAATAATTATAATTAAATAATAATAAAAAAACTACAACGTCATCCATGCCGTTTGCAACCGAAATCGGGTGGGATTTTTAAAACTTTTTGGCCGTTTGCAGAAATGTTAGTTATGATTTGTCGGCACACCCAACAAATTTCAACTCGCCTTTCTGCATACGGCCATTGATGACCTTATTGTTTAAAGTTTTAAAAGTATCGCTCACATCTAGATAAAAAAAATAGTTTTACTGTCGTGAAAAAAATCGATTGAATTAGTAGTGATCCACGAATTGGTTTATGAAATTCAGTTTAAAACAAATGCTCGCAGCCATTTTTGACAGCTGTCAACGTCAAAAGAGGTTAGGCAACAATGTAAATATTTTTTAAATAATAATAATAAATGAACTTTATTGCAAAAAAAAAGTTAGTACAATTTCTTACAAATGGCCATTGACCGAGGTCCTTCAGCCGATATTTTTTTTTTTTTTTTAAATTTTATCGAAAATATTATTTTTACTTATTTTTTTCTTTCCGTACTTCCTACCTTATTGGACGATATTTATTGTGTTTTACAAAAAAATGTCAGTTTTGACGTTTAATTTTGACTTGTTAATTTTTCAAACTAAACCTTTTAATTCTTTACAAAAAACTGGCAATAGGTATAAATATAATAAATAAAACACATTTAATTTATTATTATTTTTATATTGAGTGAAATACATTAGCTCTAAATCTAATCATTATACACTAAAACTAATATGTATTTATACATAAAGAAGAAAAAAAGAAGGGCTACTATGGCACCTAATTAATCGTAAACTAATCAGTTACGTATGAGAAAATTAAAATTTGTTCCAATAATAAAAAATAAAATAAAAAATCATTGGAATTTCGGAATTATCGTTCGGTCGAGAACATTTTGGTAAATATATACATCACAATCGTTTCATTATATACACATAAATTATATACTTAAAGAAATAATGTTATTGTTTTACAATAATAAAAAGTATATAGACCCTGTATAGTTTTTTGACGTCAAAATTACGAAAGGTGACTTGTTTTACTTACGAAAAACGCTTAACAGTTAAAATGTCGAAAATAATAAAATAATTGAAAAATACTGTTAATTTTTTTGCGATAATAAAGAATAAAAAACGTAAAATTATATACAGGGTCTATATTTAATACACAAGGCCTCTTTCACACATTATTTGGTTTAGGTTTTTAATATTATTATTTTGATGCTGTTGATTATTATTTATTTAATTTAATTTAATTTAACTAGGGGATTTACTAATAATATACACATACAGCAATTGAATAGGGTCTACACGAAGCTTTACATGTAAAAAAAATCTAAGTAGGTATCACATAAAGTTGACGCGATGTTTTTACCAGTGGTATGACAGTTATTTCGAGAAGAATTATTAAGGGAAAATAAAAATGTTAGTTTTATTCGCGCTTGGGTTGGTACTAGCAAGTAAAATTAATTACTTGGACCACTGTAGCACATGGTGCTATATGTACTTAGAAAATAAAAAAAATGTGCCTTCCCACATTGAAGCTTCAGTTTTTGTCATTTTGAAGCTTGTAGTGGGAATTTTGTATATTTTTAATGCCGCCTTAAGGGATTAACAAGCCAGGATGGGACATTAAGGGGGGTTACTGTTAGTTGGTATAAGCAGCATCAAAAAATACATGGAATGTTTAATATTAATAATAAATAATAGATGTAAAAGAACCCAAATCACCAATAAGTAAAGAATAAGGTTGATATGTTAGTAAAATGCAAGTAAAAACATCGCGTACGAAAAATTTGAACGAAATTATTAAAGCAGTGTCTAAGCAACTATTTTAAGTACCTGTTATTTATAATATCAATAAAATAAATATCAATGGGCCTTTTCGTTTGAAATCGTCCAGGTAAAGTTTTTAGTGCTAAAATTCACATGATGACAGAAAACAAAAAAAAAATAAAAAACTACTCGGCCATTTCAAGCATAAGGACGGGAAAAATCACAAAACTGTTTTTATAAAAAAAATTGTAGGTAATTTATTATATATTATGTTTGCATCAAAATTGTCAAATATATTCTGTTTTATTAGGCTTACATTAAATAAAAAACGCAAGATATATTTTATAAAAGTAGAGATAATTTTAATAATCGACAGGTGTGGATGGGAGAAGATAAATCTTTTTTTGACCTGCCCACACCTTGCAATTATTAAAATTATCTCTACTTTTATAAAATATTTCTTGCGTTTTTTTAATTTAATGTATAGCCTAATAAAAGAAGAATATTTTTGACAATTTTGATGCCAAAATATTAATAAATATAAATATATAATAAATTATCTACAATTTTTTTTATAAAAACAGTTTTGTAATTCGTGCGTTTTCTCGCTTGAAATGGCCGTACTCAAAAAAATTATATTAAAAATGCGAAGCACCAAACGATTTTTTGAGTAATTTTCGAAAAGTTTTTGAATTGCGTAAAAAATAAAAAATACGACTTTTATTTAATGATTTGTGAACTTTAACGCGTTTTTTTAATTGGACGATTTGAAATGGAACGACCCCAATATATTTGCTTAGAACAACAATAAAAAGCAGCAACAATACGTATAACAATACACCCTTATTATTAATAATATTCATACAATCACAATTCCAGTCTGTATAAAAGAATTTACAATTCAAAAAGCATTTTTAATAATATTATTTCGACCGGTGATTTTAAGTTGCATCCCCGCAAGATATAACCCAAAGTCACCGGTCATTTTTGGTTGATTATTTCTATGTACAAATCTTACTCATAGACTCTGACTCAAAATCGCGCGTTCTCGGCTATCACCGCCGACTTCGGTACCAAACCTTTTTGCGTGCCGCGACAGCACAAAAGCCACTTTTCGTCCACCTCCAAAACGACCTTAAGATTTTCACCTTTGTTGTAGGAAAGATGGCCGCTCTCCGAGGGCAGTCTGTGGGATAATGTTCGCACCACTCTGAAAGTAATTATTTATTATTTTTAAGGCTTTTTTTATTTGAGGGGTTGTTGATATGGAATCAGATGTAAAAAACGTTTTTTAAGATTTGAAAAAGAAACTAGCAACAAACAAAAAAGTTGAACTAAAACTGGATTCAATATGAAATTTCAAAAGAAGTGAATATTAAGGATGTAATCAAGGAAAATTTGAAAAAAAAGAACGGTAAAAAAACTGAAAAAGAAAACTTATTAATATCTATGTATTTTTCTTACCAAAACGACCAGTTTTAATTTGGATTAAATTTTTGTGTTATAGTTTTTTCTCAGGCCTTGAAAATATCGGCTTATTTAGGAAAAATGATTTTTTTTTAAATTATTGTTATAAAAGTAGCAATCAACAACTTAAGAAAGTTATAGGCTATTTTTGATTGACGTGCATTTGTCATATTTTAACGGAAAACTATTTACTCCAAGTATAGGACATGGCACAGTAATTTCACTCAAAATTTTATGTAGAATTTAAAAATGCAAAAATATATGGGGGTGTTTCATTTAAAATAACAAAGAGCGGCATAATGGGGGGCGGCATTTTTACGATTTAAAAAAGTATATACAAAAGTGCTCTTTTAGTTCCACTCTTACTACTCAAGAAGTCCCATAAGCCAACTGAATGGCTTGTGCGGGTTAGGGGTAGGAACGGACCGCGGGCTTAAAGTCCCCTCCGAAGGACTATTACACAATAGGACAACACAAATTTGGTAATGATAATCAAGTTTATTCAACATACTTAAAAAATTTCGATTGGCGATTTTTTCAAGAATTACGCCTGAGATAATTTAATATCTTTGTTACAAAGATTTAATAGAGGCGCTCTCGGAAGACGACCCTGGCGCTCTCTTTCATTCGTTTCTTCAATCACATTCTGTAGTTTTCTATACTTTTGTTTGACAATTGACAATTAATAATTGTCAAATATTATATCACGATCGTTCGTTGTAAAATCAGTGCATTGCTAAGGTAGTTTGATAATTATCAATTATAATTAGAAGTATAAAATGTCTGAAAAACGCAAAAAAGATTCAGGAACTTTTTATAAAAACAAAAGAAGGGCGCGTGCGGCGGAAAATCGAGTACTAGCAGCAACCTTTTCCAAATTCTTGCAAAAAGAACCATCGTAGGCAGGTATAATAGTTATAATATAATTAAACAATATTGCTTACATGAAAATGAGGTTTTATTTTTGTTGTGTACATCTAAACATTGTTTTTAAAGGTATAAAATCAATGATCTGACGGGCATCACAGCAGCATTCGGTTTTGCCAAAGTCCGCTAAACTACGTAATTATTGAATTATTTTACTTTTAAAGATGATTAACCTGTAAGCAAGTTACTAAGTAAGTTACTTAAAATGTTCGGGTGCCCTCGGTCTGTATACTTTTACATTAAAAATACGATATTTAACAGCAATTTTGTATGTAATAATCTGAGCTATTACGAAAGTAAATTTTGACAAACCAAAGAATTCTTGTAATTTAAAAATATTGTTTAATTATACTCACTATAATAGTGACAATATTTATATTATATAACACTGAGAAAAAAGTTTATTGCTCCAAAATAAAAAAAATATTTAAATATGGGACAAGGGTACAGTTTATTTATCATAAATATATTTTTATTCCCGACACATAAAGTTTTACTAAAGTATATTTATCGTTATTATTTCGACTATTTAAAGGTAATAAACAATATATTCACTATTAATAAAAGTATTAGCTACACAGTTTATTTGTCCCATTTTTTTCTCAGTGAATAATATATAGGATATAATCATTGACAAGTGACAAATTATGTATATATTTTTAACAGTACCTTACCTAGTAATTCTAAAGCATAAAAAACTCTTATAAAAAATTAAAAAATTTGAAAAAAATAATTACGTTAAACTATTTTTTTTCCTATTTCTGCTGAATAAAAAGGGGGCGGCAAAAATATATTCGCCCGGGGCGGCAAAAAACTTCGAACCGGCCCTGCAAAGTTGATGTCACTTCCGGTCAAGCCGGAAGTTGCATTTTGTTTAAAATATTTTAGAAAAAAAAGGCTAAATTGGATAAACGCTTTAAAAATTTCAAATCGATATCTTTTTTACGTTCCTCAGAAACTCTCAATGGACCACGAACGTGAAACACCCGTATTTCGTAAATGTACAACACCCTGTATATAATTAAAATAATTTTAAAATAAATAAATAATCTTAATGGTTGTCCATTTATTCATTGAATAAAATTTTCATAAAAATATACTGTCTAGATTCGATCTGTTATATTATGTGCTGAATACCGTGGATAACATTTTATTGGATCGCAAAATCTATAGAAATTTTTCATGGGAGGGAAAAAAATCAAATTTTGTCGTACTGCGTTATAACTGCATGTTCCTTGCTAAACAGTTTTCGGGCGATATTCTCATTTTATATCATAAATATTTGTACTTACTTGGGTGTAGCGGTACGTCCAACAGGTTTCCTGTTCAAAGAACTCGACGCTGCCCTCCTTGGAGGCGTTATTTTGGGGCTTTTACCATTTTGCGGCGTTGCTTTGTAAGGTAGACTACTTGGCCTTGAAACGTTCCTCGGTGTATCCACCGGGTTATCCAGCTGATCTACTCTGCTAGTCCTAAACATTTTTTTGATATAATTGGACACAGGTTTTTTTCTATCTCAAATTAAAATTAAAAAAAAAATAATTTTGCACTTTCTTTACCGAAATCGATAAGACTCGTATTTTTTCTTTTTGCTCAAATTTGTTTTGTTCACCCGTAGGAATTTTTTTAAAATGGACATAAACATAAATTTTTCTCTTTTTACAAGTGACATTTTTTCTTGTAGATAAATGTTGACAAACAAACAAAAAAAATAAAAAATTAAGTGAATTTACTCAGTTTTTTTTAAATTGTTTTTTTAAGGCAAAACTAATTGAGGTCAAAATTTTGACATTGCCAATTTATTTTTTTACTTAATATTTTTTTCGTTTAAAGTTAAATATGAAAAACCAAAAGTCCCGAGTTGGCTAAATTTGTCGTTAATTTCGTGTAATTTAGAACTTTTTGACATATTTAACATATTTTTGTCACTTCTGGTTTCACCGGAAATACTCTTAAGTAAGTAAATTAAATTATTAAAGATTTTACAGTAAAATGAAAATTCTTAATATTTTTGCATGTGTTAGGTACTTTTAAAAGATGTAAAAAGTATACGTAAGTTAATTTTGTTTAAAATAATAAAAAGCAAGTATTACATACCTAAAAGTAATAAATCAAATGAACAAGAAACTTATAAAAACGCGATATTGAAGAAATGTGGAACACAAACAATTCCGAAAAATGACTAAGGCTCTATCAGGAAGGGAAATATTAAGTCTAAGAGGTCCAGAAACTAATATGCAGGTTAATTATGTTTAGGAAAAACAAATTTTTATTTGATTTCATATTTCGTTTTTTTATTTATTGTCAGAGATTCCCTACAATGCCCACACTATGGGGCGGTTAGAAATAACTTTTTATAATCGTTTCAAAATATTTGAATGATTTTATTTAGTATTTTTAAAACCAAAAAATGCTGAGCAATTACTTACACCCCTTTGATTCTAACCACCTCAATTATTATTTTTATTTTGTTTTATAAAAAGTTTAAAGCGTATGTTTTCATAGTAAAATAAAATGTTAATATTTACTTACCAACAAAACAAACTAACGAACTGTCAAATCTGATATTTCTTTTAAACACAAAGGTTTCAAAGGCTTATTAATTTATTTACATAGTATACACTTTAAAACCTAATAAACATTCAAATTTAATTAAGAGTTTGAAAGCGATATTATTAAAAAATGCATTAATATTTGGTATCAAATTTAAAAAAAGTGGATTTCTCTTATGACCAACTTTTATAAAAAAAAAATAGTTTTGGCATAATGGTATGGTTTTTCAATTTTAGAAAGCTCCTAAAAACCAGCATTGCAAGAAAAGAATAAAATTGTATTTTTCCAGACTACTTGGAACATGAAGAATAAAAGACAATTCAAGGCACTCTATAGTATATAGAAATAAAATTTAATCAAAAAATGATTTGATCTGTCAAAAATTGACAAATGACATATGTAGAATTTTATCTTGAATCAAAATAAAAATGCATAGGGTGTTTCATAAAAAAATAAAAAGTTAAAACCATTTGACATGTGACATATGTTAAATATGTCAAAAAGTTCTAAATTACACTTATCTATTTTGTGTTCATAATGACTTCATTATAACACCGCTTTCCACCCAAAATTTTAATTTTTGGTTGGCTATACTTTAAACAGCATAATATTTTGCATTTTGGTTATAATATTTTTATGATTTTTCTAGTACTTACGAAACTTTTCTGGCAATAAATTTTGTTTAACACCAAAGAAAATCCTCTTTTTCTTCTTTAACATAAAAAGCCGCTTATTGTAAATAAGTAAATTAAGGACGGCATGCCGAATCGATTTTGAGATTAACTGTCAAACGAATGACTGTGATACCAACTATCTAAAGTAAAATTTGACCGAATTAAATTTAAGGTATAAAATTTTTTTTATAGAATTTTTGCAAAATAGATAAAATTGCATAAAGAACTCATGTCAAAAGACCTTTTGTGGCACCCGTCCATTACAAAACTCGCTCCTTCGTCGCTCGTTTTATAAAGTGTCCGCGTTCGACAAAATGACGTCTTATGACATTAGTTCTTTAATATACTATTATAAACCCCAGTTTTATGAGCCTAGATAAAATACCAACTTTTTGTGATGAACCACGAATTTACTAGAAAATGGCATTTTCATTAAAAAAAATAATTCCGATACGACGAATTTAGCAAACTCGGGACTTTTAGTGAAAGTTGTTCATATTATCATATATTATATCACGAGAACTATGAATTTAATCGGTTAAACTAGGCTCAGTAGTTTTTTGTTTGGTTTTTGTTGGAAAATGTTGAATGCAAAATAATTTAATAAAATCACGAGAGGTTTCATTTTTAATTATTTTGCATGAAACTATTTTCCAAAAAGAAAAATCAAATAAAAACTTACTGAGCATAGTTTGACAGATTAAATTTATAGGTTGAGTGATATACGTCTAGATTATTTCTCGAATTAAAGGAAACTATTTGACAATTCATAAAATCTGACGTATGTGTCAAAATTTATAAATATTTTTTCCATTAATTTAAGGTACCTACATATGTAATAAGTAATAATTGATATTTCGTAAACTAGATAACTTATTTTTTATTGTTTTTTAAAAAATGTTTGTTAAAACTAGTAAATAACACCATAAAATCGTAAACAAAAATCCAATATGGAGGCTAAAATTTAATCGCTGTTCTAGTTCTAGTGATTTAATCGCTTATTTAAACGAAATTTATTCGAAAATTCAAGGAAAATAATCAACTTAAAACAAAAAAATATGAAGTAAAAAATTTTGACCTTAATTTTTTTGTCTTTTTTAGAAAAATCAATTTAAAAAAAATGAATGAATTCACTTAATTTTTTATATATTTTCTGTATGTACCTTAGGGTGTGCCAAAAAACTCGATATTTTTTTTTCTTGCTCTCCACCCAAAATATCGTGAAATATGTCCAAACAAATATTCTGTTAAAAGCGGAGCTCATAATTTCAATTTTAAGAGGTCCCTCATCGAATCTGAAGTTTTGCCGCTTAAATAGCACAGAAAACTGTCTTTTTTACCTTATTTATTCTTGCAACCTAGGAAGAAATTTTTTTTTCATAAAATCCATGACTAATTTCTTACAAAGCATTAAATTTGGACAAAAAAATCTTACTAAGCCGAATTTCTATTTTCATTATTATTTAATTTTTACCAGAGCTTTAAATTTAAAGTTAATAATACAAAAATGATGACTTTATACGCCTGTAACTTTTAGAATATTGACGATACAAAAAATTCGCCTTAAACTTTTTTGTGGTCCATCAGACAAGCTAAAAAATTGCCTTTTGACTTTTTCGTCTAACTTCAATGGTTTAGCTGAAAAAGGCAAAAAACGTAAAATTTTAAATTTAAAGCTCTGTAAAAAATCAAATAATGAAAATAGAAATTCGGCTTAATAAGATTTTTTCGTCCAAATTTAATGCTTTGTAAGATTTGGTCATGGATTTTATGAAAAAAAAATTTCTTCCTAGGTTGCAAGAATAAATAAGGTAAAAAAGACAGTTTTCTGTGCTATTTAAGCGGCAAAACTTCAGATTCGATGAGGGACCTCTTAAAATTGAAATTATGAGCTCCGCTTTTAACAGAATATTTGTTTGGACATATTCTACGATATTTTGGGTGGAGAGCAAGAAAAAAAAATATCGAGTTTTTTTGGCACACCCTAATGTACCTATTAAACATTTACCTACAATTTAAAACAAAAATTGTAACGATCGAAACATTTTTGGCCAAGTTATGGCATTTTCAAGAAAAAATGTCACTCGTAAAAAGAGAAAAATCGATGTTCCTATGCATTTTTTAAAAATTTTCTACGGATAAAAAAACAAATTTACGCAAGAAGAAAAAATACGGGTTTCATCGATTTCGGTAGAAAAACTGCAAAAAAAAATTGTAAATAACATTGTATCTTACCTTTGGCCAGTTTTCTTAGCAGGTGAACTCTTCACGGCAGTAATCCTCGTCAATGGTGCATTCTTCGATGAACCTGGTGGAGTGGTAACCTTCTTCAATATTGGTATTCCTGATTTGACAGGTGAAGGTATCAACCGTGGTATCCTGGATTTACTTGGTGTGCTTGTCGGAGATAAAGGAGGAGACTCCTTACCGCTGAGCATCTCCCATTTTTGCTGCAACTTTTTGAAACGCCTCCCGTTCAGCGGTTTTTCGTCTGAGAAGTTCGAGTCCAGGGATTCCGGTTGTTGTTCGTGTTCTAGCACGTTCGCGAAGGTTTTTTCATCTTTTTTCGGCGAGTTTGGTGTTTCTAGACTGTCCGTGTATTCCTCCTCGTTCGCTAGGCGATCGTAAGCTTGGTACAACTTGCTGTTCAGTGCTATGCCGGACCATCTCTTTTTATCTATGCCAATACTAGTCACGTCTTCGCCCAGTTTGAAGCTGATTTGTTGTCCAGATTCGACGCAGGATCTTGGACGTTCCTTTTTGACTTTCTGCGACGAACTCACCAAATCCGGCATTTCTTCGTAGTAATTCCTCACTGTGGTGGCCGTGGATATTTCGTCGGTATCCGAATTTGATTTGGTGCTGTTGGAAGATAAGCCCAACTTTGCCGAGTTGAATTGTTTGAAGTTTGGTGAGCAAGAATGCTGAAAAATGATGTTGTATAAACTAAAATAGGAGGAGAAAGGAGAAAGAAAATGTACCCCAGGATTAAAAAGTGGGAATAATTATCAGACTACCAAAAAAACGAAACTTGTGCATGTGAGAATTACACTTTTAAGCGTTTCAAGCAAAAAAATGACAAAAATAATAATATCTAGAATGAGAAAACCAAGCCCGTTTTAGAGATAGAACAAGAAGGAAAACTTTCTGAATGAATTGAACAATAATTATGGACTGAGTTATGGAAATAACAGAAGATAAGGGAACTGGAATATTTAAAAAGTTAGAAGATATAGAATTCGTCTATGATATCTGCCTTCTGGCCACGACACAAAGTTAAAAAAACAACAAGACTCAAAAAAACTGCACAGATAGTAGGTCTACAAATTAACAACAAAAAAGACAAACTGCTAACAAATATCGAAACCGAAGCTGGTACCTAGATAGGGAATAATAAATAAAAGAAGTAAAGGAGTTTTGCTACTTGGAAAGTATAAATAGTTTGAAAGAAGGAACTCTTTTAAAATTCTAAATAAAATACCCAATTAGCACAACTGGTTAAATTAACGTTAAATTTGAATTAATTAAATTTATAATTAATCGGTTTAAGTTTATTTTAGATCTATATAATTATAATTTACGAAATATGGTTATGTAAAATTGCATGAAATCTATAGATATGGCTTACAGATCATTAAAATAAAATGTCGCCCCTGAATATTAATACTCATATATATCATTGATATTTTAAAGAGATGGTTCTAAGGAAGTTCTCTGATTAAGTGGTACACAATACTTTCATATATTATATGCGCTTAAAAAAATAAGAAATAAAGAAAATAAAGATGAAAAAAATATTTATCCGAAATCGGCAGTAAAGTAGTCAATAATCGACAGCAAAGTAGAACTTTACTGCCAAATTAATACCAGTATTGTATGCAACCCATTATACATTTTAAGATGTGTCTACTGCTCCTCAGCAGCAACTAAATAATATTTAAAAAAAAGCACCGTCGCGGAGGTCGATTGGACCCTTTCATAAAATGTTGTTTAATAAAAATAATAATAAGTTAATTTTATTAATTAGATTAAAAAATCGCCGCGGCGGGCAAATATATAATAATCGTCGCATCAAACAGTATACGTAGACACTTCTTACATTCAAATGACATTTGATTTAATCATCAATATTAATTATTAGTATTATTAAATGTGATTTCGGATAAAATTTAATATGCACCTCAGCATTAGAATCATTTTTTATCACTCACGTGGTTAATTTCCACATTCGTGATAAAAAATACGACTTTACTGCCTTGATAAATAACTATTTTTTTGCCTATTTTTTGTTTGAAATTCATTTGAAATACTATTGGTTTGTTTAAATCACCTTATTTTTTAAATAAATCTTTTTTTGTCCCGTCCACACCTTTTAATTATTTTATCTACGCCAGTGAGATAAGAACTTCTTATCCCACTCATTTTGAGTGAGATAAGAAGTTCATTAAAGCACGCGTTTTTCTCTGCTTTTAACCAATCAAATAAAAAAGTCAAAATGTCAAAATAACCCTAAATTAAGTCTTAGACAAAAATAATTACCGTTTATTTTTTCATTTAGAGGCGTAGATAAAAATTTGTACAATATACGTGTGATAACGCTTTATTAACGTACTTTTGCGATTGCCCAACTCGTGCTACGCACTCGTTGGGCAAATTTCGCATGCGTACGTTAATAAAGCTCTTATCCCAGTGGGATAATCCCACTTATATCGTAAATAACTAAAAAATATATCTACAATTATAAAATATTTCTTGCGTTTTTTTTATTTAATGTATAACCTAATAAAAGAAGAATATTTTGACAATTTTGATGGCAAAATATGTATTATATAATAAATAATCTAAATTTTTTTTATAAAAACAGTTTTGTAATTCGTGCGTTTCGCGCGCTTGAAATGGCCGCAATATAAATTAAGTTTATTTATACACTACTTTATTTACATATCGGTAATAAATAAACGTAAATAAAAAATATGCTGTGAAAGACCGTATTTTTGTTAGTATACCATGAAAATGTTGTACAACGAACAGTAACGAAAATACAGCGCTTCAAAGTCGTCAAGAATGACCACTTTTTAGCAAAATAATCATCATAATCATTTTTACCGATTTTTGGGCGCTGTATCTTCGTTACTGTTAGTTTAATTTGTTCAAAATTTTCAGGGTCTACTAACAAAAATACGGTATTTAACAGCATATTTTTAACTACTTAAAAAAAAAATCCCTAAAAGTTATTTTTCGACCGTTTTTTTATTATTAAATAAAAGGGCTTTAATAGTATATTACACTACAAGGGCAGAAAGTGTGATATTCCTGCACTGCGCGCCATGATGCCCGAGGCGAATCCGAGGGCATCATGGCGCGCAGTTCAGGACTCTCACACTTTCTGCCCGTGTAGTGTATACTATTTTTCTTGCTACCCCGCAGAAAATACGGGAAAAAATTAAATGTATATAAAAAAACTTGTGTCAAAATTAAAATCTGACGTTTAATTTAATTCTGACGTTTACATTCAAAATCAATCAAACTGTAGCGTTGTCATGGTAATTCAGCGGTGCCAATACAGTAAAAATAAAAGGTTGTATTTTAATTAACAAATTACTACTTTATAACAAATAAAAGTACCATTAAACACTTAAAACAACATAAAAAGTAAAAAAGTAAAAACATAAATTGTTTATTTGTTGTTATAATTGCAAAATTATGGTTTAAAACTGTCATATTTTTGTGTTTCTCATGTTGGCAGTACAAAATTTGAATGTTAAGCACACGACTAAAAAATTTTTACTTCCGCTATTAGAGTGTGCGCGTATAGCTTGACCAATGCAAGAAACGTAAACTTTCTGCTGTGAAATCGGGGACGAAACAACGTATTTTGAGTCGAGGTAGTAAGAAAAAATATTTTCTCGAAAAAACGAAAACTGAGAAACTGACACTCTGTATAAGTTAGGTTCAGGTAAAAATCGTTTAGGTTTATTTTGTATGACATACAAATTTCTGTGAAAACAAATTATTTCGCGACGTTTTTATTACTTTCGGATTTAAATTACAATAGAAAATAAATGTAACATACCTTATGGGTGGGACTCATTAGCTGATGATAAGAATCCATTCTCTTGAAGCTCATATGCAGCTCTCTGTACTCAAACAACAGATCCAGCTGGAAAGGCAGAAAGGCTAAAGGCCTCAATGCGGCAATCATTGCATCCAGAATCGATCTGACATTCGGACCGCCCGTATTACTGAGCAACAACAACGAATCTCCAGTGTAATGTTTTCTCAGCACGCTCTCCCGCGTTCTAAGATAGCTGGCCCAGGCATCGAGGGATCTAACGTTCAACAGACCGAACACGAAGGCGTTGAATTTGACCAAGCCCTCGGTTATCACGTCTTCTCCGTTGATTCTCATCACCAACTCGTTGAGGGCCTTCGTTAGCGGCCCTTGCTGGGCCGAGGCCTCCACCACCTGCCACACGGAGTTGCCGATGGCGCCGAAGCTAGTCTCGAGACTGGGCTTCAGTCCGTCACTTAGTACGGCGTACAAAGCGGGGCACAAAGTCGTGAGCGCCAGCTTGGCGCAGCTGGGGTTGGCGCTGGAGTCGCCCAGGGCGTTCAGCTCTTGCTGGTTCGATGCCGGAGAGAAGTGCTGCATTATTTGGTCCACCGCGTCGCAAACTGCCGATATCAGGGATTTTTTCTGCGTCAGGTTGCCGTTTAGGTTGCTTATTTTGATTAGGTGGACCGGGGTGGTTTGGGGGCTCGAGTAGTTCGGGCTGTTTTCGCTCTCCTCGCAGATCGGCATGTCTGTTAAGTTTTTGGTCTGAAATGTGTGGAAAAAATATGTGATTTTTTGTTTCGTTTGGCGATTTCGGTAAATGCTTTTTTAATTAATTTTAAATGTATTACTAAAGTTGAAAGTATAAAATTGAATGCTATCATTCAAAATTATGGAAAATCGTTTTTTCACAAATAGAAATAAAAAAGTAAAAGATTTAAAAAATATGTAGTAAATTAACTTTTTTTAATTTAAAAAACTGATAATTTATAGAAAATTATGCACACACGCAAAATAATCGATCCACACAAATTTTCGATGAATTTCAATCGCAAATAACTTTTCTATTTGATGTCGGATTTAAACGAATATTAAAGAATATTATAGATAAATTAATGGATAATCTCTCACATTTAAAAAAATTACTAAAAAATAGATGTACGTTTATAATATACAGGTTTAAACAAAAAGAGTTTTTTTTTTCATAGGTTTAAGACACTCTGTAGAGTGGCTTAACCATATATTGTTCTTAATTAAGTTTTAATTATCAAGTCAAATTTATTCTTAACAGTTTTTGTTTTTGGTTCAAATCGATATATTTATTGTTATGGAAAATATAGATTTTTAAAAAAACATTGCAATTTTTTCTGTTCAAAGAACTAAGGTTGCTATGGTCGATCCATAGGCTATGGAAGATGACAGTGACAGTTTTGTTAAATCATCCCATACTTGGACATGTCGTATACAGCTTTCAAATTGTTTTTTGAAAATTAATGTCTAACTTTTAAGGTGTCTTCTTACTTTTAAAAATGGATATGTCTTCGACTGACGTTGCCAGAGCCATTGATTTAATTTAGGATGGATGGTCACAGTATTACGTGGCAAGTGTTTTAAATGTCACAAGAAGTAAAGTACAAAGGGCAACATCAGTCGCCGACTGACAGTCGGAGACATATACATTTTTAAAAGTAAGAAGACACCTCAAAATTAACACATTAATTTACAAAAAACAATTTGATTGCTTTTGAAAGCCGTATATGACATGTCCAAGTATGGGATGATTCAACAAAACTGTCACTGTCATCCTTCATAGCCTATGGATAGACCATAGCAACCTTGGTTCTTCGTACAGAAAAAATATTGGAAATTGCAATGTTTTTTTTTAAAAATCCATATTTTCCACAAAAAGAAATATATCAAGGTGAACCAAAAACAAAACTGTTAAAAATATATGTGACTTGATAATTAAAACTTAATTTAGAACAATATACGGTTTTGCCACTCTACAGAGTGTCTTAAACATATGGTAAAAAACATATTTTTGTTTAAACCTGTATATTATAAACGTACGTATATTTTTTAGTAATTTTTAAAATGTGAGCGATTCTCCATTAATTTATCTACAATATTCTTTATTATTTGTTTAAATCCGAAATAAAATAAAAAAGTTATTTGCTTTTGAAATTCATCGAAAATTTGTGTGGATCGATTATTGTGTATAAAAAATTAATTAATTCACCATTGTAAAAGATTCTTTAAAAATACAAAAAATCCTGGCCAGTAGTGTTGAAATTATTATTTATGTTTAAAACTTGGCAACTTGGCAACATAAAAAACGGTTTTTATAAAAATATTATTTATTTATTATTAGCTTCTGTTCATGAATTTTTTATGATAGTTTTTTTAAAATACCACTCTTTATTATAAAAAATTCTTGAACAGAAACAACAAATGTTTAATTATTTATATCATATTTTTTAAATGATATAACATTTAAAAAAACGCATTTATAAAAAAATCTATAAAAATAAACAAAAATCAATAAATACAACTCATATTTAGGGTTTTTTTCTTTACAGGCGTAAACAGATAATCAGATAACAAATCTTCATTTTTTCCTGTCTATTTTTAAAAAAAAATTTTAAGATTTGATAAAAACGCATTTTGGACATTTCAGGAGCGCGAAACGCAAGAAATATATTATAAAAGTAGAGATAATTTTAATAATTGAAAGGTGTGGTTTTGACTGGGCCAAAAAAATCACCTATTTTTTTTTTAAAGTATATCGGAAATATGGTTTGGGGACAAAAAAAAATTATTGTGAAAGTTTGATTCAATAATATTAATATTAAGAGGTCTATCATCGCAATTTTAATTTTTTTTTCCTCAGCAAGTTTTTGTCTCAGAACTGCCAAACCATTGAGTTTAACAAAATTGACTCGAAAATATTTTTTTAAGAAAATTAAATGCTCTACAAAAAAGGTTAAAGTGAAATTTTCCGTCAGATGAACCGTTTCCTTAAAATCACGCCTTAAAAATTGGTATAGTTTTACATTTTGATCTTTTAAATTGGAATTTTGTAATTTATGTAAAAATCAGTACCCATAAAAAAACCGATAAATATGTGAAATCTAATGCTTTACAAAAAAAGCCTCTGAACATTTTTGGCTAAATTCACTCAATCAAAAGTTATTCAAGGTTAAAATTTCGTTTTGACAAATTTAACCTTGAATAACTTTTGATGGAGTGAATTTAGCCAAAAATGATAAAAGACTTTTTTTGTAGAGCATTTCATTTCCCATAAAAATATTTATCGGTTTTTTCCGGATACTGATTTTTACATAAATAAAAAAAGTTAAAAGATAAAATTATAAAACTATACCAATTTTTAAGGCATGATTGTAAGAAAACGGTTCATCTGACGGGAAATTCCAATCAAACCTTTTTTGTAGAACATTCAATTTTCTTCAAAAAATATTCTAAAGTCAATTTTTTTAAACTCAATGGTTTGGGAGTTCTGAGACAAAAACTCGCTCAGGAAAAAAAAATCTAAAATTGCGGTGATAGACCTCTTAATAGTAATATTATGGACTCAAACTTTAACCATAATTTTTTTTGTCACCCCAAAAAATATTTTCGATATAAAAAAAATAGTCGATTTTTTTTGGCCCAGTCTAGTGTGGATGGGACAAAACAAAGATTTATCTTGTCCCGTCCACGCCTTTCAATTATTGAAATTATCTCTACTTTTATCAATCGGAGACATTTTTAAAAGTAAGAAGACACCTCAAAATTAACACATTTATTTACAAAAAACAATTTGATATCCTTTAAAAGCTGTATATGACATGTCCAAGTATGGGATAATTCAACAAAACTGTCACTGTCATCCTCCATAGGCTATGGATGGACCATAGCAACCTTAGTTCATCATACAGGAAAAATATTGGAAATTGCAATGTTTTTTTTTAAATCCATATTTTCCACAAAAATGAATATATCAAGGTGAACCAAAAACAAAACTGTTAAAAATAGATGTGATAAGTAAAACTTAATTTAGAACAATATTCGGTTTTGCCACTCTACAGAGTGTCTTAAACTTATGGTAAAAAAACATCTTTTTGTTTAAACCTGTATATTATAAACGTACTTGTATTTTTTAGTAATTTTTAAAATGTGAGCGATTCTCCATTAATGTATCTACAATATTCTTTATAGACCAGTGCAGAAGCCTTTAAAAATGGTAAAAAGAGAAAAAAAATAACAGTAGGATGAAACCTATTGGAAAAGGAGGGGAATATAATAAAAATTAAAGGAAAAATAAAATACGGGCGATCTGAGTTCGGGAAGTGGGAGGAGGGGGGGGGGTTTTAAGGGTAAAAAATGGTTTATCTCGATTTCCGGCAAAACTACAAGTCCTATGGAAAAAAGTTAAATGTCAAAGTTGTAGGTAATAAAAAGATCTACAACTTTTGTAATTACAATTTTTTCACACAACCTCAAAATTTATGTGAAAAATTCAAAAAACCAAGTTTTTGGTTTTTTATTTTTATCTTTAAAAAAAAAAAAATTTTTCCACGAAATTTGGTGAAAACTTACCTTTTTATGTCCCAAATACACTGTAATTTATTTGATTTGAAATATTTATTATTTCGCCTTATTTTGACTTATATCAAAAAAGCACCCTAATTTTCAATCGAAAATTCTCGCGTCAAAATATCAGCTTTTTTCAAAAAGTCGGTGTGCTTTTTGTTCGATGAACTCTCTACTTTCTGATGGTGTAAAAAAAATATACATTACTATGGTAAATGTTCTCAGAAAATACAAAAAATATTATAATGAATAACGTAATCAGAATGAAGTATCTAAATTCAATAGTATGATTTACATGTATTTTTATATTTTATGAGATTTTCTGACATAAATGTTATTAGAATTTAATAAATAAACTTTTTAACTAAAAAAATTTGCAACAATCACATTTTTTTGATGAAATTGTACATAATGATTAAAATAAATTTTCGAATTCGAGTTTTTTTCGTTATTCAATATAATATTTTTTGCATTTTCTGAGAACATTTACCATAGTAATGTATATTTTTTTTTACACCATCAGAAAGTAGAGATTTCAACGAACAAAAAGCACACCGATTTTTTGAAAAAAGCTGATATTCTGACGCGAGAATTTTCGATTGAAAATTAGGGTGCTTTTTGATATTAAGTCAAAAAATAAGGCGAAATAATAAATATTTCAAATCAGATAAATTACAGTGTATTTGGGACATAAAAAAGGTAAGTTTTCACCAAATTTCGTTGAAAAAGAAAAATAAAAAACCAAAAACTTGGTTTTTTGAATTTTTCACATAAATTTTGAGGTTATGTAAAAAAATTGTAATTACAAAAGTTGTAGATCCTTTTATTACCTACAACTTTGCCATTTAACTTTTTTCCATAGGACTTGTAGTTTTGCCGGAAATCGAGATATACCATTTTTTACCCTTAAACCCCCCCCTTCCACTTCCCGAAGTCAAATCGCCCGTAATTTATTTTTCCTTTCATTTTTATTATATTCTTCTCCTTTTCCAATGGGTTTCATCCTACTGTTATTTTTTTTGATTTCAAAAATTATCGACCCTGGTCTATTAATATTTGTTTAAATCCGAAATTAAATAAAAAAGTTATTTTCGATTGAAATTCATCGAAAATTTGTGTGGATCGATTATTTTGCCTGTGAGTGTAGTTAGTTCTGAATTTATTGATACTTTTGTGCAATTTTAAATGATCCAAAATTCATTGAACAAAATTATAAAAATTTTACTAAATCGTAAAATCGTAAAAACGAACGATAAAAAAATTGAAAATATAGAAAACTTACATGATAGTTCTTCTGATGCAAGAAGGCGCTAACATTGGGCGAATTGTTCGGCGGCACGAACTGCCTGGCCTCCAAATGCTTGGGCAGCACGTTAACCTTCTCGGCGAAACTGACGGACTTCTTCCCCCCGAAGTGATCCGACCCCTCCTGGTTGATCTTCAACGACAGAAACTTGCCCACGTACGACCGCAACTGCATCAAACTCTCCTCCGTGTGAGACTCGTGCTCCGAGCCGGAAATCCCCGAGATCTTGAGGAACTCTTCAAATTGCGCCAGCTCCTCGTTGGAGATGTTCGAGAGCAGGAGGTCGGCTCTGTGGGGGTTGTCGTGGTTGTTTTCCTCTATGGAGGAGCTGGAAGTACCCGCATCGACCCCTTCATCTTCTGTTTCCGAGAAGCGCTTGTTTCTTAGGTAGTACGGTTCCTGCAGGGATTTTCTTTTATACGTTGCATCCTCAACGTTGTTTTCTTCCTCGCTGGTTTCGTACATGCTGTACCTAAAGGTGTAAAAAAACGGTTTTTTTTCTTAAAAAAATTAGTATTTTTTCGTAAGTAATATCATAAGGGCATTTAATTTTTCCGAAAAGAATCGAAAAAACACGTTGCTAAGTAATATTTTAACAAAAAGCATGAGTGCTGGTGGCAACAAAAATCCGAGTCGAAGAGGAGGATTTTTGCACCTGCACGAATGCATTTTGTTAAAAAATATTACTTAGCATTGTGTTTTTTCGATTTTTTTCACAGGAAAAATTAGTTGCCCGAATGGTATTTGACAAGACTATTTCATGAGTAACAGTTAACAATTAAAATATAAATTGCAATTTTTGGTGACAACAGCTGTCAAGTTTTGCCGCGGGTAAACTCGAATAAACTGCTGACAGGTGCTGTCACACAGTTTTTTCACCTAGAAACCATTTGTAATTCAAAATTGCGCGTTTGTGATTGGTGGAAATTAAGACGAGGGAAATAGTCAATATAAAATTTTGAGCAAAATTTAAAATATTAATAAAGTAAAATTATTAGAATATATTACATTTTCCATTATTGAAAAATTTGACTGAGACTAAAAAGTTGATTTCTTACTATTTGGTAGTTTCCACATAAGAAACCAATAACAATGTAAAACTTGTTGAAGTATATACTTTTATTTTTGGTAATTTTATGACGTCAATTTGTTAAAAATACGTTAAACCATTAGGTTTTGGTAAATAATATAAAAATAAGATTACTTCTGTTTTAATTTTATGAACTCTCAAACCGTAAATTTGGGTACAAATTACGCTTACATTTAATGCCTTATATTTTTTAAACGACTATAAAGATGATTTTTTTAAATATGTTTAAAGTAACTCTTTATCTATTAAATAATGAAAATTTTAATAGTAAATTAAATCCAACGTAAAAGTTATAACGTTTTAAAGACACATTGGTAAATTTAAGAAAATATTTACAGGGGTTCTCTATGCCAAATTGTTCAGTAAGCTTTCCTTAATAAGCACATAAAAAATCAGGTGCATAAAATTATGCACTTAAGTGCATAAGAAAAAGTTATGAATATTTATTTGTCACGCAGCATGGAAAAATCGGGGTAGCTCGTACTTAACTAAAGTGTTAATTCCTCACTCGACTCGTAAAGATTATTATTATTGCATTACATTTTGTTAATAACATAAAAATTTTAAATTTTGAATATCAAGTAGAATTTGTTTAATTATAATTCAAAATTTAAAAAATTATTATTATAAACAAAATGTAATGTAATAATCCTTTTCATACCTGCTTTAATAAATATTATTAGGTAATTAATAATCCTTTAAGAATTTGTTTACTTATTATAACTGTTATCCAGGTACTAAAATACTATAGTATTTATATACAGTGAGGACGCGTGGGTTGGAACAAATTCATTTAAAATTCAGGGATTTGTTTTTTGAAAAAACGCTCAGACACGTCGATTTTTATTTTTAGATGCGGTTTTTTTAATAGTAACCTCACTTATACAGGATTACCCAAAAATAAGTTACGACCATCACCTTCATTTTTTTAAATGGAAACCCCTATTTTTTATTTTATTTTTGAATTTTGCATCAAATTCTAAGTATGTTTTATGTACCATGTCCTATACCTAAACTCAACAGTTATCGAGAATTACGAGTGAACATAATAAAATACCGGTTTTCTGAGGATTTTTTTGTATCGAGCAAAACATTTAATTTTAAGTTTATTTTAATTGGTTTTTTAATTCTGGTACTTTTTATTGTCGACTGTATGATAATTTTACTTCAAATAAGTAATTTTCAGTTGCAGTTAAAAGGTTTGAAATAATGGCGCGTTTAACTGAGAAGCAGAGAATAGAAATTTTGATGATGGTAGGATATGGCGACAGGACTCAAACACAAGGTAAAGTTTTCGAAATGTTTAATAACAAGTAACCGGAAAGGCCCATTACACGATCGGTAGTTAGTAAGATACAAAAAAAAGTTTAGAAGATACAATTATAAAACCAACCATCTTCCAGTTCCAGAAAACAAACAATTGGATTTTTTATCTTACTAACTACTGATCGTGTAATGGGCCTTTCCAGTTCCTTGTTATAAAACATTTCGCAAACTTTACCTTGTGTTTGAGTCCTGTCGCCATATCCTACCATCATCAAAATTTCTATTCTCTGCTTCTCAGTTAAACGCGCCATTATTTCAAACCTTTTAACTGCAACTGAAAATTACTTATTTGAAGTAAAATTATCATACAGTCGACAATAAAAAGTACCAGAATTAAAAAACCAATTAAAATAAACTTAAAATTAAATGTTTTGCTCGATACAAAAAAATCCTCAGAAAACCGGTATTTTATTATGTTCACTCGTAATTCTCGATAACTGTTGAGATTAGGTATAGGACATGGTACATAAAACATACTTAGAATTTGATGCAAAATTCAAAAATAAAATAAAAAATAGGGGTTTCCATTTAAAAAAATGAAGGTGATGGTCGTAACTTATTTTTGGGTAATCCTGTATAAGTGAGTTTACTATTAAAAAAACCGCATCTAAAAATAAAAATCGACGTGTCTGAGCGTTTTTTCAAAAAACAAATCCCTGAATTTTAAATGAATTTGTTCCAACCCACGCGTCCTCACTGTATAATGGTAGTAATATTTTTTTATTTATATATATGTAGGTACATATAATATATTATATATTAATAACAAACTTAATTTAGACAATTACATTTTGAGATTGATCAAAATGAGTACTTTCTGCGTTTCTTTCGAGTTTTTAACAGACCTATTTTTAAATAGTTAAAAAGACGTCACCATTTTTTATGGAAATTTAAAATATAGGTAGGTTTTCAAATTTAGATGAAAATCAGTTCAAACAAAATGGTTGACATCTCACCGGTCTACACAAAACTTTAGACATAAGAATGAAGAATGGTTAAAAAAACGAAATTAAAATGGAATTTAAAGAAGATTTTCACAACCAGGTCCATCAGGTATTGGAAGACCAGAACAAGATTGTTCCGACCAAGCTAAAAGATATATAAGGTTAAACATTTATGGGAATCTGTTGATTTTAAACTGTTTACTGAAGCCCTGATGAAGAAGTTATTAGTAGATTAAATGTAAATATTTTTTGATTAATATTTCTAACTATTTTATTTTAAAAAACTCATGTGAAAAATGCAAACACGTATTAAACCAACAAAAACCCATATTTCTTCAATTAAAATATAGTCAATTAATAATTGACAATTATACGTATTACTTAACACTCTTAAAATAAAAAATAAAAAATAAAATATTTATTTGTAATAAAAAAGTTTTGAATTGTTTCTGCAAAACGGTGATTTTGGCGATCTAAAAACGCATTACCAAATTAAAAGGTATATTTTTATATTAAAATATACTTAATTATACGTAATAAGTCTTACTTATACGTAATAATTCTTACTTAATCAGTAAAAAAGAAAAAAAATATTTACTTGTTATAAAAAAGTTAATGAATTATTTTCGCAAAACGGTGATTTTGGAGATCTAAAAACGCATTATAAAATTAAAAGGGATATTTTTTTATAATTAAAATATACTTAATTAAACGTAATAAGTCTTACTTAATCAGTAAAAAAGAAAAAAATATTTATTTGTAATAAAAAAGTTAATGAATTAATTCCGCAAAACGGTGTTTTTTGACCATTTACATTTACTAAGTGTCATTTAGTTTATGAACTGGACGAAACATAAAAAGTTAGGCAGTTGAAAAAAAAACGAAAAAAAAACAAAAAAAAACTGTACCTCTTGGTGACGTCGCCTTTCCTCAGTATACTCCTCGGCAAAGGGGGTCTGGGCGGCGTTTTTTCACCTTGAGGCAAACTCACGCACCTCACAGGAATTGGAGGAGTCGCCATTGTAATTCTGTCGCTAGTCATCAAGCTTGCTTCGGAACTGGTCACGCTGTCGTATCTGTACACGAAAAGGGGGTTCAAGTTGGTCGTAGCAGGCGAACTTTGAGAATCGCTGAGTATCGTTGAGGAACCCCTGTAACCCGAACTCGGTTGAGTTGAGTTGCTGCTGCTCGTAGAACTCAAATCGCAGCTTTGAGGCCTCTGCCGATACTTCTGCCGCACGAAAGAGGGGTCTTTGTGGGTGACCTTGATATGTTCCGATATCTCCGGTACTTCCGAGAGAATTTTTTTGCACTCTTGAGGCAGCAGGATGTTCAACGAGTCCCAATCTTTCACGTGATTGAAACCGCGGCGTTTCAACGCTTCCAAATCGTTGCAACTAAAAGGTCTTTTGTTGGACGTAGATAGTTTCGGAGCACGTTGTGGCACCAACAGGACCTTCGATATATCTTCACCGCGTTTTTCGTTTAGGAAGTCCAAATTCGGCAGCACGTAGTTCGGGTACAACACGTAAACAGGTTTCTCGACTTCGCCCTCCTTTTTTAGCTTCTTCAAGAACGACGCTTCTATAACTTTAATTTCAGACTTCGGCGCCGCGTTTTTCTTCAAGTTGGCAATCTCCGAGAAGTGCGACGTCTGTATACTCCTGTTCATCAACTCCTGCGTCGCTCTATGCAACTTCAGCGGCGAACTGTAACCGTTAACGTTGTTTATGTTCATTTTGGAGGCGTTCTTCAACAAAATCTCCTCGTTCTCCGGCTCCTCCTCGATCAGGTCGTACTTCTCCAGCGCCTTCTCCGACGCGCTGCTCTCTCCGGATTGGCTGGCCGGCCAGTTCTCCGTGCTGCTCAGCTGGTCGAGCGTCGTCGACATGCCTTCGGTGCTGATGCTTTTCTGCTTCATGAACAGCTTGACCAGGTTGAAGTTGTGCGGTTTCGTGGAGGAGTTTTCCGAGGTGGTCGCGTCCACCGAGGTCGCCATTTCCGACAGCGAGGAGTTTTCGCTCGACAGGTGGTGCTGGATGTCGAACACTTTGACCGGTTTGCGTTTTACCGTGCATGTGTCGGTCTGAAAGAGACAAATTGTTTAAAATTTTGTTTTTTTGACAAAACAACCCTGTTGTAAATGACCGATTAAAGGGGTAGTTAAATATTTTCTGCCTATACTTTTTATGGTTTTATTCAAGGCGTTTTGTAATTTTAAACATTTCTGTGAAATCGGAATTTCAATTGAGTTTACCGTTTTCGAGATATTTACAAAAAAAATCTCCTAATCACTAGGCTATTGACAACGTTGCCAGCTTTTTCTATGGTTGCTAGTGTGTTTAGTTTAAGATTCTTACGATAGATGGCGCCACGTTATAATATTTTAGTTTTAAAACCACTTGATCTATAATTTTAGTTGAGAAGAGGAATAATTGATTTTTTGACGTTTCTTTTTTTCGGGTTATGTTTTTTTTAAATTTGGATTATTGAAAATCAATGTTATTGTTATGTTATTTGTAATTGATATTAGATAAGTGATTTATTAATAACGGACTCCAAAGCAGAGGAATCTTGTGAAATGGTTGGTTACATTGAACATTGGAGCTTTTAAACAAATAAAGTAAGTTCCCAGCAATAATTATAATCATATTTTGTCGTAAATGCATTTCATTAGTATAATGCCTAGTTCTTTATATTCTTTTAGATATATCTTGGACTCTAAAATAGCAAACAGTAATATGATACCTCGTAATAAGGAAGGTACTTAATGAATTTGGTGACCATCTTTCACTCAACTGACAGTGACAGTATTTGTACATAACCTCTTCGGGTATTTTCTGACATTTATGTTAATGATTTCATTCGGTTATAACCGAATGAAATCATTAACAAGACAACTTGACAACAGGGTAATTTTCAACCAATAGAAATCTTAGAATGTTGGTCACATGGCGAGGTTTGTGACGTCATAAAAATTTATATTTTTTGTAAATATCTCGAAAACGGTAAACTCGATTGAAATTCTGATTTCACAGAAATGTTTAATATTACAAAACGACTTGAATAAAACCATAAAAAGTATAGGTCAGAAAAAATTTAACTACCCCATTCCTTCTAGAAACCAATTGAAGTATTGGTTGGTATCAATTGGACTTACTGGGTTTAATTGGGAGCGATATAAAACAGAAATTGGTTTTTACTGGTATTTTCCATGATGGAAAAGTCCGATTAGGATTCTACTGTTTTTTAGTGGTTTCGATTGGTTAAAGCTACCCATAGGTAATCTCTAATTAAATTTAATTGGGCATTCCCAGTGTGAGATTCTAAAAAGGAATCTGCTAATTGATTATTCCCAATACTTTAAAATATCGCAAGAGGGCTCTCGTGTAGCTGCGCAAAACCAACGTAAGCAGTCCTTGTTCGAATGGTTGGGACGCCATCATAAAGAAACAAACAAGTCTTTGGACGCTATTTAATGTCGTTTTTTTATTAGTCGGTTTCTTTTATAATCTATGGGTTTCTGTGCTTAGTGGTAGTTGTGTACTTATAGTGGTGTGTACTTATACCTTAAAAAAATGTTTATATGTATAAGGTTTAGGGACGATGGCGTGAGATTGGTGGTTACAGCGGACAAAATAAAAAAAATGACATAAATAATATTGATTTCGACCATGCCTACAAACATCCTTTGCAAGAAAGACAAAAAAATTATTATAACCGAGTAATTTTATTTATTTTTTATTACTTTTTTTGTGTTAATAAGTTATATTTATCAATACATATCTCATGAGAAATAATAAAGAAGTAAAGTTACTCAGTTATAATAATTTTTTGTCTCTTCTGTGAAAAATGAATTCTGGTTTTTACCCGGTTATTCTTCTGGGATCTTAATTATTTTTCAATAAAAAATCAACTGGTATTTTTAATCCAAATTTAAAAAAATAAATTGGTTCAAATTGGTTTGAATGGGTTGGCGCTATGAATTACCAATTCATTCCAGGTGCATTTCTATTGGATTTAGCCAATAGAGACAAGCATAGGCATGGATTGGTATATTCCAATTTAAGCTGTTGACTTCATTGGAACTTAGCAATAGGAATGCAACTGGAATGAATTGGTGATTCATAGCGCCAAAACACATTTTAAACCAATTCAAACCTATTACTTATTTTTTATTGGATTCTATCGGTCATTTACAATAGGGAACACAGCAAACGGAAAATTATAGAAGTGTATTGGATGACGCCACGTTTGAATACAATTTTTTAAACCCTCGCCACGGTATAGAGTTGTATTTGCGTTTCAATACTCTCCACAGTATTGAGGTCGTAATTTGACTTTTGAATTAGTATTAATATAAAAATTATTTTATGCTTAAAAAAATTATATACGACATGCTTGTGATTTTTTTCATTTTATTATTTAATTAAGCTGTGATGAAAATATTTCTCCTATAGGAATAATTGCCAATGGGCCATTAATTCATTTGTTCTTAGATGCTACAATAACCTGCACTGGTATGTACTTTTTTGTACTTAAAAATTAAATTTTATTTTTTAACATCTACTACCTATATTTTTAATTCGCAGAATAAAAATTCTTATATGATATTTTTGAAAATATCACTTATAAGAATATTAATTGAAAATATCACTTATAAGAATTATTCCTGAATGAAAAATAAAACGGCGCCCCATAATTATGACAAATAAGCAATTTTTTTTCAATTGAAAAAAATAGAAAACGAAAAAACGCCAATGAACGCCAAAAAAGTTTTTAATAAAAAAAAATATAATGACAATTATCGAGAAATTTTAACTTTTTCCGAAAATTAAAAAAAAACGTAGAATAAATAAAAGTTTCTTATAAAAAATAATAATTTTTTTTAATAATTTTCTAAAAAATTTTCTGTAAAAAAAAATCAATTTTTTAAACGGTTTGAACGTTACCATGGTTTTATATATGGGGAATTCCACATGAATTCGACACGAAAATACACTTGCCATTTCAAAATTCGTCGGCAATTTTTCCATGGGTTCCCTGACTCAAAATAAAAAATCAATTTTAAGTTTAGCATGGCTTATCAATTGTTTTTGAAGATATGATTTTTTAAATTTTCATGAATATAACGATTTTGCCAATATTCATAACTTTGGTTTCAATTGAGCGATTCCGACGAACGACCAATCATTTTTCTATTCAAGCTATTTTAAATAAATATTTTTGATGCTGTGGCATATCGGCACACTACGATTTTTTATTCGAAATCTAAAAATCCATTTTCTACACTGTTTGTATTTTATTTAAATTTTTATTTTTTTTTGTTTTTAATCTTTAAGCGAATACAAGTTTTTTTATCTATATTATATCATGGCTATCGAAAAATAAATTTTATACCTTAAATTTAATTTGGTCGAATTTTACTTTGGATAGTTGGTATCACAGTCATTGGTTTGACAGTTAATGTCAAAATCGATTCGCCATGCCGTCCTTAATTTACTTATTTACAATAAGCGGCTGTTAATGTTAAAGAAGAAAAAAAGGATTTTCTTTGGTGTTAGGGGCCGTCCATAAATTACGTAACACCATTTTTGCCAATTTTTGACCCCCCCTCCCCCCTGTGTAACACTCTGTCACACTTGGGCAAACCCCCCCCCTAAAATTACGTAACACTTTGGCTTACCCCCCCTAAACTCAAAAAAAAGGACAAAACATATAGTTAATAGTTAATTAGTTAATAACCAAAAAAAAACAAAAAATATACTCAGTCAACAGAATCTTAATCTTAAATCAAACAAAAACCAAAATCTTAAAAATCTAAGCTTATTACAAACAGTTAGGTAACAAAATCTTACTATTAGGTTATTAAGAATCACTTAAGCAGTAGTATGGGTATTTTTCAGTCGTCAGAACTTTTCCATGGTGTTGAAATGGCATTTTCCATGGATATTACTTCTATGCTTGCGTTTTCGTAGATATATTCGGCAACAGCCACATTTTCTAAAACATCTTCATCAATCCACTGTAACTCCTGATCTGTTTTATCAAGTTGCACCAAAAATTCCTTTTGTCTTTTAGCTGCCACACTTTCTGGTCTAATTCTTTTAATATTTGCCTCTCGCCCGCAGTTTTTTTGGTGGCTGAGTATATATTTTAGTGAAGCCCCATAAAGCCCACATTTCTTGCAGATTCGTTTCTGCAAAGCTTCTTTTACTGAAGGACACATGATATCATATGGGACTTCTTTAAAATTCTTAAAGAATAAGGGTGCATTTAACCTGTCCTTTAGAGAAAGAGTACCAAACAAAATTAAGAAGTGTCCTTGTTCTTTAATGGTTAACGCATCTTCATTATACCCTACTGATATTGGAGGAGGCAAGAATCTATTCGGGAAAAGCTCTTTAAATTGGCTTCTAAAAACCGAACAACAGATGCGATCATCGCATTTCACAATTTGTAAAAAGTACTGGCTACTTACATTTTATTTTATAATTTAAATGAAGGCTCAAAAGTGTTACGTAACAAAGTCGTAAACCCCCCCTTCCCGCCTCGTAACACTTTGTCACACTTTGAGCAACCCCTCCCCCCCCCTTCGCGTGTTACGTAATTTATGGATGGCCCCTTAAACAAAATTTATTGCCAGAAAAATCATAAAAATATTTATAACCAATATGCAAAATATTATGCTGTTTAAAGTATAGCCAACCTATAAAATCAAAATTTTGGGTGGGATAAAGTATCTCATTACAGCAGCGAAAGCGGTCATGAATGCAGTAATTATAAACGCAAAATAGATAAATAATTCTTTCGGAATTTTAAATTTTAATAATTTCGATTTTTTCCACTTTCGAACATTTCGTAATATTAAAAATGTTTTTTTTATTTAATCTTTTTATATTTAGCCCTTTTAACTACACTGCCCGTCAAAATTAACGCCTTTACCAATCAAAATTTTTGATAAAAATACTTTAACTTATATCTCAGTTTACGTTTTTAAGGGTTTTTCGAAAAAATATCCTTAAAGCCCTTTTATTTAATATTAAAAAAAACGCTCGAAAAAAAACTTTTATAGGGAATTTTTTTAAGTAAATAAAAAATATGCTGTTAAAGACCGTATTTTTGTTAGTATACCCTGAAAATTTTGTACAAATCAAACGAACAGTAACGAAGATACAGCGCTTCAAAGTTGGTTAAAATACCCCTTTTTGATTATTTTGCTGAAAAGTGGTCATTTTTACCGACTTTGAAGCGCTGTATTTTGGTTACTGTTAGTTGTACAACATTTTCAGGGTATACTAACAAAAATACGGTCTTTAACAGCATATTTTTTATTTACTTAAAAAAATTCCCTATAAAAGTTTTTTTCGAGCGTTTTTTTTATATTAAATAAAAAGGCTTTAAAAATATTTTCTCGAAAAACTCTCGAGCACGTAAACTGAGATATAAGTTGAAGTATTCTTATACAAAATTTCATAAAGATTGGTAAAGGCGTTTTAGAGTTAGATTACTACCTATGAATATATACTAAAATGATTGATTAATTGATTTTTAATCTTAAAATAATTATGTATTAATAATAATATTTTTTTTTAAACAATTTTAATAGTTAAAAGGGCTAAATATAAAAAGATTAAATAAAAACAATCATTTTTGATATAACAAAAAGTCCAAAAGTGGAAAAATTATTAAAATTTAAAATTCCGAAAGAATTATTAATTTTTCGATAGCCCCGATCTAATAGAGATAAAATTGTATTCGCTTAAAGATTAAAAACAAAAAAAATAAAATTCTTCTAAAATGGGGCTTTTATTTAATTAATTTAAAAGTACTTTTGGTATAATAATATATTTTTGATTAATTTAAAATTACTTTTTAAAGAAAATTTATAGCAAAATATATTAAGGTTTTTTAAATACAAATTATACTTGATTAAAAAAAATCATGAAAAATCATATCAATTGATTATAATTAATTGCCAAACTTAAAAAACAGATAAGAGATAAGAACTTAAAAATGATAAAAATAATTGTAATCTAAAACATTATTTAAACAAAATTGTACTCACCGAACTATTATTACTATTACTCTTAACATGTCCACTTTGCACCATGCTCCTCATAATCCTCTGCTTATACAAATTGGGCATACTTTGACTCTTCAAAGTGCCCATATCGTTGAGCCCCAATCTACTTGCGTCATCGCCAGAATTATTGTTGTTCCCAGAGGGCAATCTCCTCAAGTGATTATCGCTGGACCTCTTCTTCAGGTTGCTCCAGGTGGTGAAGCTGCTCGAATCGGATTTCGTCATTGAGGCATCAAGATTTTTTAGGTTTTTCGCTTGCGATATTCTTAGACAGTCCGTTGGCCAATGGCTACTGGCTGTATGATGATTGGTTTTGTCTGAAAATAGAAGCGTGTTGTTGAATTATTTACTTTGTTGTCGATAAGGGGTACGTAATTATTATTCTAATGATAGGAATGCATTTGCTTTAGTTTTGTTTATTTTCGGCATAATTTGAATTTTGTTTGTGATAAACATCCGTAATTTGGTTAGGTACTACCTGTGAATTCATTCATGTTTTGTAGTTAATTAACGGTAGTTCAAAACGTCCAGGTAAAGAGAACGTCAAGTTTAAAAAGTTCTAGTATTTTGTTGTGTTAAAAAACTGCATTTTGTCCTTTTCATCTTAAAGCCTTTTTGAAAAAGGGGTGGGTCGTTATTTTTTATGAAATCGATGAGATCTTTATTTTTTCTTTTTGCTTAAATTTGTTTTGTTCACCCGAAGGATTTTTTTTAAAAATGGACAAACATCGATTTTTTTCTTTTTACGAGTGACAATTTTTTTTGAAAATGCGATAACTTGGCCAAAAATCTTTCGATCGTTACATTTTTTTTTAATTGTAGGTGTTTACTACATACAAAAAATATATAAAAAATTAAGTGAATTCACTCAATTTTTTTATATTGTTTTTTTTTTAAAAAGGCAAAAAAATAGGTCAAAATTTTGACATTGCCACATATAATATTGTTAATATGGATGATATGAACAACTTTCACCAAAAGTCCCGAGTTGGCTAAATTCGTCGTTATTTAATATATTTTTGTCACTTCAGATATATCTTTTTTTTGTCCCGTCCACACCTTTCAATTATTAAAATTATCTCTACTTTTATAAAATATTTCTTGCGTTTTTTTTATTAAATGTAATAAAAGAGGTAAATTTTTGATAATTTCGATGCAAAAATAATATATAATAAATTCCCTACAATTTTTCTTATAAAAACAGTTTTGTAATTCGTGCGTTTCGTGCGCTTGAAATGGCCGATATGTCATTTGTCAATTTTTGACAGGTCAAATTATTTTTAATTAAATTTTTATTTCTATATCTAGTGCCTTGAACTGGCTTTTCTGCTTCATGTTGGGGCAAGTAGTCTGGAAAAAATACAATTTTATTCTTTTTTTGCTTTCAAAAATTGAACAACCATACTTTATGCCAAAACCACTTTGGTTGGTCATAAAATAAATCCACTTTTTTTTAAAATTTGATACCAAATAATGCATTTTTTTATTAATATTCAAATTCTATAATATTTAAACTCTTGTTTATTAGCTATACGCTAAAGAATTATCGGGTTTTCGCAACGCGCGAGCCATCTGGTGGGCTTCGATAGCATTGCATGAATTTAAGAATTTTCAACAATACGTTTAAAGCACAGATTATACATCATTTTTAAATACATAGGTAGTTTTTTTCACACATGAGGGGAAGGGGTCTTACTCGACAAATTTTTTTCAATTGCACGTTATTTGTGTTTTACGTTGCAAGGAAAAAATTAAAAAACTTTTTTAATACTCGATTTCGATTGATTATTCCTTATATCATTGATTAAGAAACTCAACGCTTAAATGCGTTAGTGTGTGTATTTTATCAAAGGGATCATGGTGAATTATTGTTTTTAATTGTAAATCGTTGCATTTTATAATATAATTTATATTTAAGTTTTGACATTTTAAAGAAATTAGTAAAAAATAATGTTTGTACAAACATAACCTTAAAATCAAACATTTTTATAATTAAGTTCTCTAAAAAACGCCGACAACTGCATATTAAACAACAAAATATACCTACGAACTCATGGAAACATAATATTAATATAATACATAATATAATGGTATTTTACCGTTGAGTGGAGACTTTCTTAATTAATGCTTTTAATAATGCTAAATACTGACGACTTATTTGTTTGACGATTTTTACTGAATTGAAATGTTGACACTTTTCACGTTAATCACTACTAAAATGTGTATTTATTGTATCTAATAGGTACAATTTATATTTACAGAGACTGTAAGTAATTTATTTCTTCATTCAGATTAGCACTGTTTATTGGAAAACCGGGATTTGCTCTCGAAATACACCCAAGAACACAACAAATCGAGCCACGGTTTTTTTCCGATATTTTTTAACATTTTCCGGCTTTATTCTCAAAAAAACTCGTTTGTAACCTAAGCGTTTGACAGCTGATAGCGATACTTCTTTAGCGTATTAAACGGTTATAAAAGTAAATAAATTAAGAAGGCTTTGAATTTGAAACATTTTGTTAGTTTCTTTTGCTGGTAAGTGAATATTAAAATTTTATTTTAATATGAAAACATACGCTACTTTTTATAAAATAAAATAAAAATAATAGTTGAGGTGGTTAGAATCAAAGGGGTGTAAGTAATTGCTCAACATTTTTTGTTTTAAAACTACTAAATAAAATCATTCAAATATTTTGACAACAATTATAAAACGTTATATCTAACCACCCCATAGTGTGGCCATTGTAGGGAATCTCTGGCAATAAATAAAAAAACGAAATATGAAATCAAATGAAAATTTGTTATTTCCAAACATAATTAATCTGCGCATTAGTTTTTGGACCTCTTAGGCTTAATACTTATTTCCCTTCCTGATAGAGCTTCAGTCAAAAAGCGTTTCGCGACTGCCTCACTTATATCTGTTAATCGACCAAAATTTATCGGAATTGTTTGTGTTCTAAATTTCTTCTAAATCGCGTTTTTAAAAGTTTCTTGTGCATTCGGTTCATTACTTTTAGGTATGTACTCACTTTTTATTATTTTAATCAAAATTAACTCACGAATACTTTTTACAACTTTTAAAAGGAACACATGCAAAAATATTAAGAATTTACATTTTACTCTAAAATCTTTTATAATTCAATTCACTTACTTAAGGTGAAACCAGAAGTGACAAAAGTATGTTAAATATGTCAAAAAGTTCTAAATTACACTTCATATAGGTTTCATGTTTTTCATATATAAAATATCAAATTTTTGCGATGAACCACAAATGAACCACAATTTAAAAAAAAATTAGTGAATTCACTTAATTTTTTATATTTTTTTGTATGTAGTAAACATTAACCTACAATTTAAAAAAAAATTGTAACGATCAAAACATTTTTGGCCAAGTTTAAGAAAAAATGTAAAAAGACAAAAATCGATGTTTCACTCCATTTTTCAAAAATTTCCTACGGGTGAACAAAACAAATTTAAGCAAAATGAAAAAATACGGGTCTCATCGATTTCGGTAGAGAAACTGTAAAAAAAATTTCGTTGAAAAATAACGACCTTTTTCCCTTTTTGGGATGGAAAGACCCAGATATATTTCTGTAAATTGTTACCTGCAGCATTAAAATCATTTTCCTCCGAAAACATGGTCATGCTGCCTTCGAACGCAATGGTATAGTTGTCCTTATTGGCTTGACACGTTAACATCATGTCGCAGTCCAGGGAGTCCACGCTGAAGTTGGCTCCAGGCATGGGAGTCTCTTTTACTGGACTGAAGAGCAATTCGGACTTGCATATGGACATCGACGTGGAATCCTCGCCTTGGGAGCTGCTGTGTGGGCTTATGGAGCTGTCCAGATCGAATTTGCCCATCATGGAGCCTGATACTGACGCGTAGCATTCTCCTTGACGATGGTTCTGGAGGAAGAGAATAAGTGTTTACTAAGGTGTTTCAAAAAAAAAAAAAAATTTTTCTAATCGTGTTGAAAAATTAATAGTACAATAAAAAACAAAAATTTTGCCGCATATTTGAGCACTTAATATTAATATTAAGGTTTGCCTCAATTCATTTGTAGTTTTTCCATTTCAATAACACGGGAATTTTTATTTTTTTAATTTTGAATTCTTTTAACTTTGGAATGGTTTGTTTTCGCAACACCCAAGCGAGAGGTTTTATAGACAATTTCACGCTCTACAAAAAACATCTGAATTCTTATAACTTTGGAATGGTTTGTTTTCGCAACACCCAAGCGAGAGGTTTTATAGACAATTTCACGCTCTACAAAAAACATCTGAAGGTCAAAGTTCTTCAGATCAACCGTTTCAAAGATATCAGCGATCAAAAATAACACTAATGAAAAATTTCAAATATTTTCAAATAAAATACGAAAATAGTATCATATGCCATATTTATATTATTTTTTATGTAAAATCACTTTAATTCTGTTATCCTGAGACTGTAAACTTTTTTTTATTTATATACATATATATACGGGGTAGACAGACGCGTCAAGTAGTTAAAGATTCCTCTCCTAGCAGCGTATACGAGACAAACGCAACCGTAAGTTCCAAAAACGAACCTAAGCATTCGGAAATATTGGTTATAAATAAATAAATAAATAAATAACTAAATAAACAAACAAGTGCGATAAGTGCAACTAGGGCAAAAAAAAGTGCAATGAGTGTGAAAAGTGCGGGTGATCCCCTATTAACGCCGCAAAAGAGTGCAACCGAATAAGGCCAACCGGCCCACCTGGTCAGCAGGGATTGTCACAACCAAAGCCTGTCAAAGACCTGCAGGCGAGGTCAAGAAACAACGAACAGACCGTGAAAGACATAGCATCAGGATTATAGCCTAACAATCAAGCTAAGTAATTTTTCTAATTGCATGTCTTATTAACAAAACCATTCTATTCCAAAAAAAATCTAAAGTAAAACGTCTCCAGTAGCACCAAATATTCATTGAATATATATTTAATATTTAATGAATATTTAATGTTTTTTAAATATATAAATATTTGCTTAATATGTAATAAATATATTTTATAATATATGTTTTTTAATATACAGTGGATGTTTAGCTAATATTATTTTGAAAATATTTGTTTTGAATACGTAGTAAATATTTAATAAATTTATTTAAAATATTTATTTTTTATGTTCAGTGAATGTTTAATAGATATTAATAAAAAAAAAATATACGTTTTAGAACATTTTTATTATATCCATTAAAAATTATGAAAATATTTTTTATAGCTATTTTGGGATATTTATATAATATTCAAAAGTATTCAAAATTAATTATTTTAATATTATCTGGAATAGATATTGAAAAAATATCTAAAAAAACATAAATACCTGTTTTATAATTATAATTACTAAATTAATAAAATATTTAAAAAAAAATAATAATATTTTATAGACCTAAGTCGTCACCTGAGTATGAACAGGGCAATAAAGCTGTCAACAAAACAATTCACTATAACAAACCGAGACCAAATAAATTTGACATAAGACTTAAACAATAAACATAAAGACATAAACAACAAACTAAGAAAACATAAACAAAGTAAAAAAAAGCAACCTAATCAAAGCACTCTAATCAAACTCCACGGAATTTGTAAACATTAGACTACACTAAAAGTAAAAATAAGTACCTGCTACACTGAGAGAAAATTTTTGTAAAATCATTCAAAACAATAATAATTCAAAGGGATTCAAATATATGTTAGCGTCATTGGTGTATCCCATTAAATTAATAAGTGTATAACAATTGTATAATACATACCTTTTTGAAACAACGTTGATAAAGGCAATGAAATAAATAGATTTCTTTTTGTATATATTTTTTAAAGAGGGTACACTTTAAAAGTGTTTAACAACATTGTAAAACTGTTGGTAAATAAATATAAAACTACAATTTTTCTATTTGAATCAAATGTAATCGACTATTTAAATTAATAAAGTCATATGCTTTTCATGACATGATATTTCTCTAAGTGTAATGGGAAAAACCATTACCAAAAGGGTAAAAGTAGCCCAACTAAAATACTGGGTCCACGTCACTCGTAGACAACGCAACAACATACTACAAGCCACCCTTAAACTAGATCTTAAAGACAAAAAAGTCGGGAGACCATGCTTCAATTCATGACACGTTAGCACAAAACATGCACTTCTCACAAATTAACAAGACCAGCTGGGAGCAAATAAGCAACAATAAAAACAAAATAAAAAAAAAAAAACAACCGACACACTTTACCAAGTTCAGGAATTATCCGACACGGATAATGACAATAATGAACAAGACGAACCCCTCGACTAGGAAACTACACCCTGCATCGGAATAACAACTCCCCAACTCCAAATAGTAATCCCAAATGTTTGGAGTAATATTAATCGACTGGTCTAGGGGGATTCCGCGTCGTACTTAGTTTTAAGTCGGCGTAATTGTCCCCCAAAAACCAACACCTTCCCGTCCCTTCTCCATACCCCACTGAGCGTATAGCATAGGCTCGGCGAACCCGGGAACGGCTATTAAAACTATTCGCCTCTCGCTCTCGAGCTCCAAATAGGGGACAGTACTGAACGCAATGGACATTCGCACCCAGCAAACACGGGTGAAGCCGCGAAGTTGTTGGGGAAGAACAAAAATCGGCGTAAGTAAACATAGGCCTGTACGGGGTTCGAGAGTCAAGAGGAAATGGGGCTGGTTATACGTCTCTTATACTCATACTCATACTCATATATACATATATATACGGGGTATTCCATACCAAATCGACCACTTTTGAACCCGACCCCTTTAGATTTCGCTGAAACTTTTCCATCCTTTTCTACCCTTTGAAAAACATTTTTGAAAATTTTTTCAAATTTTTTTGTCCAACCTCAAAAAAGTTATGAATTTAAAAAAAAATGGCTTTTTTATTTTCAAATAGCCATAACTTTTTTAGAAATTGACTTTTGGGTACCTTTTTTTTTAATTTTTGTTTTTGAATGAACTTTTCAAAAAAATACACGAAAAAATACACGAAAAAAATTTAACATGATCAATTATATAAAATAATCGTTTTTTTTTAGTAAAATCGTCATTTTTTCGAAGTTCGCCATTTTTTTTTTGTTTTTTTTTTCTCAAAAAAAACTTCAATTAATTTGACAACTATCCCCGCTAATCCCGGAGTGGGCCGATTTTTTTTTGTTTTTTTTTTATTTATTTAAAAAAAAATTGTCAAAGAAAATTCGACAATTTTTTTTTAAATAAATAAAAAAAAATTTAAAAAAAATCGGCCCACTCCGGGATTAGCGGGGATAGTTGTCAAATTAATTGAAGTTTTTTTTGAGAAAAAAAAAAAACAAAAAAAAAATGGCGAACTTCGAAAAAATGACGATTTTACTAAAAAAAAAACGATTATTTTATATAATTGATCATGTTAAATTTTTTTCGTGTATTTTTTCGAGAATTTTTTTGAAAAGTTCATTCAAAAACAAAAATTAAAAAAAAAAGGTATCCAAAAGTCAATTTCTAAAAAAGTTATGGCTATTTGAAAATAAAAAAGCCATTTTTTTTTTAAATTCATAACTTTTTTGAGGTTGGACAAAAAAATTTGAAAAAATTTTCAAAAATGTTTTTCAAAGGGTAGAAAAGGATGGAAAAGTTTCAGCAAAATCTAAAGGGGTCGGGTTCAAAAGTGGTCGATTTGGTATGGAATACCCCATACATAATACATATTGTCTATACAGGGTGTTTCAAATAATATAAATAATAATAAAAAATAATTTTATTTTTTTTGAAAAACCTTAGTGTTTACGCTGATTCCAAAAATTACCATCAGTTTGCTCAATTAGCCTTTGTTTTCGTGATATTATGAAAAAAAGGTTTCACACATTCAAATTCGTAATAATATGTTATGTAATAAAGAGGGTGTTCCATAATTAGCGTGCAATACTTTGACAGCAGATTCTACGTACATAAATAGGAAAAACACTTCCTATAAACATAGGTCGAAAAATGGTTCCTAAGGGAGCTACGGCCCCCGAAGGAGGAGCCCCTTATTTAATATCTCCAAAACCGTTTAAGATAAAAAATGAAATTTTGAGAATCGATCAAACTCCCTGTGACATTGCATAAAGGTTCTCTGTCTTGAATAATTTTTCCCCAGCTGTGTTTCATAGCCCAAGCTGAATCTTTTTCTCTAGTTAGGGTAGTTTTACCCGTACTCCCTATCTATCTGACCCACCCCTCATGGAAAATTTAAAATTGTTATTATTACATCTTATTGGTCATAAAAAGTTTTATCAATTTCCAACATTTTACGTTTCTATCTGCTGTTAAAGTATTGCACGTTAATTATGGAACACCCTGTATATTATACAGGGTGTAACAGAACTCGCGCCACAGAGAAAAAGTGAACGTATGCGAAACACATACTTGAAAATTAAAATTATCTAATGCAAAGGATAAGCGAGATAAGAATAAAAAACGATAGCCAATCCCAGTAGGAAATTATAAAAGTTTGGAATATTGAGTGTAACTTTTAAAATATCGAAAATATTAAACAATGATTTTAATAAAAGTTGTTTGGTAGTTCATTTCAAATTTTACGGTGATATTGCCAACTTAAAAAAATAAATACTTAACCCCCCAAGGAGGCCAACTTTTTTTTAATTACAACCCCCTTTTTTATATCAGAATTTAAAAGAGGCTATTTTTCATATAAATTTTAAATTTGTATACAAGTTTTTTGTTGTAGTTTTTTTTAGGCTTTACATCGTTTACCTGTAATGCATTTTTAATTCGACATTCAGTGAAGATTAAAGATATTTAAAAATTAATACACCAAAATGTAGAGATTAAAATCCCTTAAAAAACTATAGGGGTAAACATCACCCACGCTTATGGGTTGATGTGGTGTTAAAAATATAAAAGAAAATTATCTTATTTAAAATTTTAAAGTAATAAAGTAGATAAACAAAGATAAACAATTTTGCAACTTAAAATTAAAATAGGACACGTAACAGAACTAAAATTGTCAAATTTTATTTCGCTAAAAATAGCTTTTTTAAGGGACTTAATTCATGAGTGAGTACGATTTTTTTAGTTAAGTTAAGACTCATTGTTAAAAACACTCAAAACTAAAACTTGTACCACGTTTTCTGGCATACCAAATTTTATCATAATTTAGCTTATCCATTTTATTATTGAAATGATTTATTGCATTACAATTTTATGATACCGTGTTTAGTGCATTTTGGCAATGAACTAAATTAGACTACAAAAAATAACCAGCGCTGATGCCAAATTTCACAAGATTATGATTTACGATATAATACTCCACCAAAAAACAACAAACATGTTTTTCTGACTAAAATTTCTCGTCCAAAAAATATACCATCTCTCAATTATAATTGAATCGGTGGGAATAAGAACAGTACAAGTCCAAAAATTTAATTTTGACAAGTCATTTTCACAAAAATGCATTTAGAACTATAAAACTAATATTTTGTCCAAAATTAACTTTTGGACTTGTACTGTTCTTAATCTCACCGATTCAATTAAGGGCCCTATAATTTTTATTATTTAAAATTTATCACTGAAAAATTTACGAAAGTTTTTCACAAAAAATAGTTTAATAGAAAAATGGGCAAAAAATGACAGATGCAGCAACATTTGGTACATTTCGCGTTTTCAACTTTAAAAATATATCTTCCAAACATTTTCTTTAAATAGTTATATTATTACCTTTACTTTGCAAGAAAAATTAAAATCGCGTATGTAGCCGTTTTCAAGAAATGTAGAAAAACTTATTTTAATATCTTTTCATATTTAGCCCCTTTAACTATTAAAATTGTTTTAAAAAATTATTATTATTAATAATTATTTTAAGATTGAAAATCAATGAATCAATCATTTTAGTAAAATGATTTTACTATATATTCATAGGCACTACTCTTTAATTTAATAAAAGGGCTAAATAAAAAAATCGTTTTTGATATTACAAAATGACCGAAAGTGAAAAAAATCGAAATTATTAAAATTTTAAATTCCGAAAAAAATATTAATTTTTCGATAGCCAAGATAGATAAAAAACTTGTGTTCGGTTATAGATTAAAAATATTTTTATTAAAGAAAACGAACATTAAGTGTCTGTTTATATATCTAATTGAAAAGCTATGTGTATTATATGTTGTGCAAATGCAGCGAAATAGTTTTTGCTTATAATTATATTGAAACTAATATATAAAAGTATCGAATTGCTAGTCATTTTTACTAAAACACATGTAGGGCATTAATTTATAAAAAAACATTTATCTCCACAACGGCTACATAGGCGATTTTAATTTTTTTGCAAAGTAATATTATATATATATGTAAGTATATGTATGTACATTTATATATTATATATTATAATATCACTATTTAAAGAAAATGTTTGGAAGAAAATATTTTTTTAAGTTGAAAACGCCAAATGTACCAACGTGGCAAGGGTTAAATATTTACCTCTTGGCTCAGATGGTCGGTGCACATGGGCGGTAAGTTGGTGAGTAACGCATGGATGTCCTCCGTGCGAAAAGACTCCATGTCCGCTTCCGCCAGATTGGCGTCCATGTTTTTTGCGATGGCATCGTAGTAGTTGAGATCCCCGGCCTCGTACGATTCTGGGAGAGACAGAATGCTCGTGTGGTGGTTGATACCTCCATCTCTGTAACTGAAAATAATTTAAATTAAAATTTATTTCGAGTAAAAATGTAAATGTATAAAAAAGTATAGTAAAGTATACTCTATGCGTTTTAAAAATAAATGGCACTTTTTATTTTAAGATGAACTGTGCTTTTTTAATTTTTGAAGTGAAACTTTTTTGCGGAAGGGGTAAACCAAATGTTGTATACCTTTTGGAATTATAGTTGTGGGTATTATTGAATTTAAAAGTTCAATGATTTAAAAAATTGTATTTCCAAAAAAATTATCTTCATGCAAATTTTTGAACCGTTGGGTTCTTGACAGTAAGCAAGCCTATCCGAAAATTCTCTGAGAACATTTTCTTATATTCTTCAAGAAATAGGAAGTTCCTTGACGCATTACAAGTATAATACTAGTGCTATTATTCCAGAAAGTTGAACCTTCACGGTGAAGGCGTCACCTCGCTAGAGATAATGATTTTAATGCGTTCCACCAACTTAAAATACTTTAAGTATTGACAGCTGTTTCCACCTATTTTAGGTCTCTTTAGTATTGAACAACTTGTAGTGTCACACCAAAGCAAAGGACTACCTGAGCTTATATACTCTCCAAGTAAGTCAACATAGGCGAGATTTAATAACATCACGTGATCCAGACCGTCTTTGCCGCGATCGGTACATACTATGCAACCAGGATTGATTAATATAGTTAAATTAACCATTCCTTTTTTTCTGTGTATAAATGTAAATTTTATTTTTTCCGTAGGTACTCACCCATAATCTATGAACCATTGGTAGTCGGAGTTGTCCTGTATGAAGTCGATGTCCTGTGAGGATGTGTTGCTAAGGTAACTGGCCGATCCGGGATGATTACTGTTACAATCCGAGTCCGGACTGGCCCGGATACCCACTCCCAACTCGGACATACCTCTACCTAGAACAAGAAAAAAAGAATTATTAGATTTTGTCTTTTTTCAATTTTTTCTATTTTTAGGCAACCATATTATAAGGAATAAAATTGTTTTCTGGCTATCTTTTGTAAGGTTTTGATTGGCAGTTTGGATTTTCCAATAAAAAGACTTTTAATTAGTTTTCTTTAACTTGTCAAGTTTTATAAATACTATAAATCATATACTTTGATAACCATTCTGACCCTTTTACTGCGGTTAAATGTTTTTAATTGTATTTATTTTCCAGACTATATTATATTACATATTTTGTTGTTTACTTAGTAAACTTTACTACTAAAAAACATATAAAAGAATCCAGATATATGGACTTAATTTTTGTGCATTGTGTTTTTTAATTATATCTAAGACTTAATCTAAAGATGTAGAAAATCTACCTGCATAAAAACATTTGTGGTTGGTAAAATATGAACCTAAAAATTTTTTTGAAACCCTAAAGACAGTTGTTTATTTTATAAAAGTCAGATAAAATATTAGAAATCGTTTTGTTGCATTTTAAATGCCATGAAAATATTTTATTTAATAAAAATTACAATGAGATACCTATATTAATTTTAATTTTCTTCAATAAAATTTCATTAACTTCACGGCTAATAAATATTGAAAACTATGGAAACAGATTACGATGATTGATGGTTTCAAATTTAATTATCCACCAACTTTCTTTCTAATAATAATGAACACGATCATAAATGCAATTAATATTGATTAAGCGCTACGTAAATGCTACGGAAATAATTAATTGTAATTTTATAGTATAGGTAGAACGGTCACAAGCAAAATAAAATAATTATGCAAAAATAAAAATAGTAAAAAAAAGTTTTTTGACCTTGTGCAAATTAAAATATAATAGGATGAATTCCAGTGTTAACCCACACCTGATTTTTTATTTTTTATCGAATTTAATCTTCCAAAGGATGTATGCACAAATGATAGTCAAGATTTGTTGGCCCAAATAATGTATTTTTAATTCAATCAATTTAACAAAAACATTAAAAACTTAAAATTGATTCTTACATAAACTTGTTGGGCCAGCAAATCTTAACCACGCCTTGTGCATACAGCCATAAAACCCACATGCCAAAAAATTCAATTTAAATCCGATAACCACAACATGCGTATACACACCTACATAATAATGTAATTTAATATTTAATAAATTAATTTGAGTCCAAAAGGAAAAAAACCGTCTTCGACAGAGCCAATTTGTTTTTTACGATATCCAATTAACTAGATCAGAATCAAAAACAATTCAATTACATGTAGTTACAAAGCAGCTAAAGGGAATGGCTGAATTTATTTGGAGCCAGGTTGTCGCTTGCTCTTTCAAAATTTATGTAGGTATTTGTTTTTGCCCGACAAATTTCATTTTTATTCATAGCTTCTAAAAATTTGCATTTTCAGAACTAAACTGATTTAATAGATATATTTAATAATAGATGTATAATAAGTTTGCATCCAGAATTTATGATTTTTAAACATAGAATAGTTTTAATAATGGAATTTTTGTTGCCCAATCAAAAATTGTCTGGTGGACATTTTTAATTGCATTAAACTTTTATTGTCGACCTCGTTAATATAATATTAATGTTTTACAAATGACACCAAAATTCTTAGAAAACTTAATATACATAATTAATATAATGCTGATACTTTTAATCAAAGTCGCCCATGCATATAAAAAGTATAAGTACCTACTTACTTGGTAAAAATTTTTTCCCTTACATAAAGGATAAAACTGTATTTAAAAAATGGATTAATTATTTTAAAAACACCCTGTTTTTTGTTATAGAATGAGTTGAAGTTAAAAAAAAATCAAAATATAACACTCATAAGCCTATACAGGGTGTTTCACATTCGTCCATTGGAAGTTTATGGTGAACGGAAAAATAAATCGATTTGAAATTTTGGAAGCATTTATAATTATAATCAATCAACTTTGTTATTTCAAATAGAACCATATCTTTTTACATTTACCCCATATATTTTGTATCAAGAAGTAATTTCAAAGTTAAAGCAAAAAGAATAATTCTAATATAGACGAAAATATGAAACATGGGTACTTATTATTTATATTGATATGGATATGAATATTATTTAAAATAGTTTTGAAGTTGGAGTAAAAATAAAATAACATGTTTAAAAACGTAATACTGTTATTGGGCCCTGCTCTATAAAAATGAATTAGTCAAAAATGACTACCTAATTTAATAGTTATTAGTGGCTGCTTTTTCACTTGTACCATGGTTAAACATGGAATACCATGGTATCCCAAAACTATCCCCTGAATCCGAAAATGTCAAAAGTTAAAAAAGTTGAACAGTTTTTGAGATATAGTCAATTTTCCATTTAATATGGAATTGACTATATCTCAAAAACTTCTTCACTTTCATAATTTTTGGTATTTTCGGATTCAGGGGACAATTTTAGATAAGAATTGGCTGTTAAATTTTGGTATTCCATGGTTAACCATGGTACAAGTGAAAAAACAGCAACTAATAACTATTATTTAGTCATTTTTGACTAATTCATTTTTAGAGAGTGGGCCTGTTGGATACAAATAAATAAATAAATAAATGATGAATTGTCGGTATCTATGGTTACCACATGATCTGTCATTGTTAAAAATTTAATGGCGTCAATTTTTCAGGTTTAGGTAACTGTAACAATTTAATAAACCAACAATATGTTAGTCAAGAAAAGCAACGTCTAATGTAGAAGTAAGAATTACATTTAGTAAAAAATAAGTAATAAAAATTGTTCATTAAAATATTGTTGGTTTATTAAATTGTTAGTTACGCATTTTTTTTGTTATTAAAATATTTTATAAAATAAATTTTATATTTTATTGTCTCCAATGAGCTAGTGCTCTATCTAGTTGACATCCTACAGCTTTGTTGAGTTTTTTCAAAATTAGCATTTAAATGACTTTCTGCCAAAGTATCGCATGCAACATAACTTAAATTTCGGGAATTGAAAACATTTTTTGTTTTAGTCTGTTTTAAACCATATATAACCCGATATAGGTTTTATAACAAGTAAACAGCCTATAACACAGTACGACAAAATTTGATTTTTTTCCCTTCCATGAAAAATTTTTATAGACTACAAAAATGGTACCCGTGTCTCGGCGTTTTTTCAGATCACGTCACTTTTTTTCCGGTTTGACCGGAAGTGACATCAACTTTGTTATTTTAAATAGAACACCCCATATATTTTTACATTTTTAAATTCTACATGCAATTTTGAGTAAAATTACTATACCAAGTGAATAGTTTTCAGTTAAAATATGAAAAATGCGCGTCAATCAAAAATAGCCTATAACTTTCTTGCTATTAGGTTTGCGGAAATGGGGGTGGAATTTTTGGAATCTTAAAACATTATTTTAAAGATTCCATGTTAATTCCGGGTGTTAAATTTAAAATAAAAAGTTATTAACGTTTCAAGTTAGCCCAATTTTCCCTGGGTTTTCTCGTTTAATTTGTTGAAATATGTTAAAGAATTGACATAGAATTTTTAAAGAAGGTTTTAAGATTCCAAACATTTTACCCCCATATCCGTAAACCTAATAGCAATCATCTAGAAAACTATTCTCTTTAGGTATAGGACATGCTATAGTAATTTTACTCATATTTTTATGTAGAATTTAAAAATGTAAAAATATTTGGGGTGTTCTATTTGAATTAACAAAGTTGATGTCACTTCCGGTTCCGGTTTTGTTCAAAATATTTAAAAAAATAGACTTAATGGATTATAAACGCTTTTATATTTCAAATCAATATTTTTTCCGTTCCAATGGACCACGAATGTGGTTTAGGTTGTGATACCGCTATAGATTCAAAAGCAATGTATAATCTTCAAACTAAAAGATCAAGATTTGTTTCCAACATATATTTAATATAAATATTATATGTATATACATATTATATTATATTGTTTCAAATTCGTGGTCCATTGGAAGTTTCTGTTGTATAACTTTTAATTAATTTTTAAAACATTTGGCTTGCAATATTTTTTATAAGTCACTGACTGCTATTTTTTACCAGTAATATTGTTTACAAAACACTTAATTAGTCACCAAATTATTTATAACAACATGAAAAATTTACGCCATTAAATTTTGAACAATGACAGATTACGTGGTAACCATAGATACACATTCAACTCACCCGTCACAGGTTTCTTGATACAAAATAGGTAATATTTAAAATTTTAGAAATAGAGTAATTGCATCAAAAATGAAAAACCCTAAAAACCTTTTTATTGTAATCTAGAGGTAAAAACACATTGCGAAAATATTTTTTTATATTCCAAAAGTTCAGCCCGGGCCCAAAATATCAAATTGAAAAAAAGGTACTTTTCAAACGTTCCGAACTCCCGCCAAATTGCATGACGTCATAAGCTCCAACTGTCAGAAATCAAGATGTCAACAAATAATAAACACCGATAAAGTTTAACATGGAAAACGCGAAACCAAAAATTGGTTGTATATATTGTTTTGTGCCTTGTACAAATACAACCTGGAAAACTCCTGGGAAAAGGTTTATCACCGTGCCAAAAGGGAAAATAAGGATAAAGTGGATTAAAATAGCTCGGCGCGATATCAAAACATCGTCACCGCAGTCAACATTTTATTGATCATTTTAAGGATCATTTTAATGTAAGTAAAATAAAATGTCGTTTACTAGGTATATGGTTTGAATAGGTATGTTAAATATTAATAAACCCAAGAAAATACGGCTGAGCCGTAACTACTCTCAGTGTAGGGTCATAAACTTTGCTTTTGATAATTGAAGGGACAACTTTCCCAGGAGTTTTCCAGGTTGTATTTGTACAACAAGGCACAAAACAATATTTACAACCAATTTTTGGTTTCGCGTTTTCCATGTTAAACATAAACTTTATCGGTGTTTATTATTTGTTGACATCTTGATTTCTGACAGTTGGAGCTTATGACGTCATGCAA